AACCGCAGTATCGAAATGAGGCACCTACGTATTGTCGAAGCCGAGGGTTGCAGCTGAAAAGCAGAGATCGACATCTCCAAATTAATAGGTCGCAGTACACCGCATTCAACAACTTGGGTTAGCCTTGCCGAATTATTTTGTGGATGACGCATCAGGACCAAACTAACCAATCTTTAAGAGTTTTAACTCTTAAAGGTGGGTTAGTTTAAGCATTGAAGATGAAGTCCAAGATTGCGACAATGAAACGAAAGGAAAAGGGAAGGTGTATGCAGACCGCAGGAGAAATTCATATCAAAGCAAGACCCAAGAAGATGATAAGGAGTTAAAGCGACAGAAGGAAGAAAAGACGATGTCAAAGAAGTCTCCTTATACAGTTTTTAGAGTCAGGAGAATGGAGGAAAAGTTTTCCTTGTAGGGGCTGACGATGTACAATATCGTCGCAATGTAATGTTTTCTCAAAGTACGATGATGATGTTATTTCAGCCCCGAATGAGTTAACAGACTCCTAAGATGCACAGAAAACATAAGAGAGTTCACCTAGCCTGGAGTGTAGACAATTTGGAAATGTTCCGTCTGATAGAGCAAGTGGAGATACTCCAGAGGAATACAGACCATCATACGATAGCACTGTGAGGCCAAACAATTCTACCACTTTGCGTACATTAAGAGTCAAAATATTACCCTCTAGAGTTCAACGCAGTCTTCTTGGCTGCGTTCAGCTACGTGCAGAGCAAAACACTTAGACCTAGAAAAGAATGAGGACTTTATTCTGAGGAGGCTATAGTCTTAGAGCATACCCGAAGTGGGGGAATCAATGCTGGCCACTTAAAGATGGACCTAATTTTAGCCCGCTCCTAAGCCTTCCCTCTTTCCTCTGTGATGTCGGCTTGGACCAATAGCGAAACCCATTGCTTCCCCCAGCGTTTAGCCAACGCAGAGGGGTTAATCGACGCCGATGTTTACCACAGCTTTTGAAGAATGCATAGACGGGAAAGGTCAGAAATCCGAGGGGCGAAGCAATGCAGTGCTGCAACGCACTCAGGCTCTGACAATTGCATGATTACACTTTGTTCTGCACGTACATTTTTTTGGTTTAATCATCATAAAAGCGTACTTCATTGATATAAAAGAAAATAAAACGCACGCGAGCATAAGCAGTTGCAATTTCTATATGAGGAGAAACGTTCATGTGTTTCTCTTTTGTATGCGGTTCTCTCTTAACTCTTCTCGCCAAATCCTTAAGAACATAAACAAATTAGCCTCCTGAGTATCTTTTGCCCCAAACACCGTGACGCTTTTTTTCAAATTAACTATGTGACCACTGCGTGACTTACGTAAGGGTACAATGTCAATGGGTCAAGGAGAGATATATTGCTTTCAAACTCACAGAAAAGCAAATTCTTTGGACCTTCAAAAGTTTGATTTGTTAATGAAGTTGATTGCCCACAACGCGACCATTATCATGATTTATGTTTGGATAATAGTAGCTCATCTCCTGTAACCTATCTGCGAAGAAATACTTACGTAGGCACTTACTGAGTTACTGTCTTATTCAAGGGATCTACAGATGTTTTTCTTTGACGCTGTGGTTTACTGGCGACCACGTTGATCAATGAGAATGTCAACACTATTTCGCCTGCAGGTTTGGAGAAATTGCCGACAATCAATCTACAGTTGACTCATATACGTTTTGATAACCAAAATGCTGACACGCTCCCTGCTCTGCACTGAATTAAAGCCTGATGCCAATTTCTCATAATTTTTTAGGGTTTTAAAAAATGATGCGAGGAAAAATCGCACCACGTTTCCTAAGCCGCCGGGAGGTATCTTCAGACGAAAGTTATTTTCACTTGCGCTCGACCGTAGTGGGCATTTTTTCTTTAGACGGATGCAAAATTAATAAGTTTTTTCAGAAATGATAAAGACCCACACCAGCCTTAGTTCAACGAACGTTCGCTTTTGTTCAAGTGGCTTTTTCAAACTGGCGGTGAAGAGACTCGATTGACTCGTAAGCCGTTCAGTTGTGAGTGAATTCACTTGTTGTTCTGTATCTACGTTTAAAAAAATAAAATCAAAACAGGCAAAGCAATGAATGCAAAATTGTTATCGCCTTTAGCTGTGCTAAATCATACACACAGAAAATTGTTTTCATAGTGATCACGGGAGGCAGAATTGCGTTACAGACTATCCATATTGAACAAAACGCAAAGTCACGCGATTTCGGAGAAAAGCGAGTCATGTTTTGCATCTAAAGGGAAATGTTGAGCGACGAATATGATTATCTGTACATGTTTGTGGATACTTTGTTTGGAATTAGACAAGAAAACTGGAGAAGGACCAAACAACGTATTTGTCCAGTGAACCATGAAACTTTCCTCAGGTATTCGTCTTTTTAAACCGTCTTTACCACCGTGTCGCTATTCCATCTGTTTTTAAGATGGCGGCCTGTCGCTCGCGCCTCGCAGCAGCTACTGATGTGTCAAAGCGTAGTCGGCCAAGAACTTCAGACACTGCTATTTGTGCTTCCCGGAAAGTTGCCGAAGCATTTCGTTTTGCTCGTATAGTAAGAGCTTGTAATTTTCTCACATTTTCGTAGCGAACAGCTTGAAATAACTTTGTTGGGTTTGCCTTGTGGCCTTTCGATGGTAGCATTAACATGAATCTTTGATTTTCTGGACCTTTCATGTTTCTAAGAATTAATTTGCTGTTAAAATAGATTGCTGCACCTTTTTGCCGACCATGTTTTAAACAGCAACAGTTCTCAGAAAAATGTTTGTGGCTCAATAACACTTCGTTTTCGACAGAACACTTGTGATTCGTTTTCAGAAATCACGTGATTTTGCATTCCTTTGTAATTAATGTGGTTACATTGTTAAGACAAGGAGTCAAGGAACAGAAATTGGTGGACGTACGAAAACTAAACTGGAACAGCTGGACACTTATGAAATCATTTTGAGCGAAATAAAAGGACTTACAGTGAAGGACGTACTCTCATCAATCATGTAATTGCCTACTCTCATTAAGCAGATAGTCTGTGGCCTTTTTATTGTCCGGTGTCAATGTTTGATTTTCTTTATCTGTTGTCCTTCTTTCCAAGAATAGACGCATTATACGTTCAAGCGAACCTTACCATAGAAAAAACCTTTTATATGTGCTTACTTCGCAAACTTTTCATGTTACAAATTATGTGTTGACTGTTGTTTTCGAGTGCACTTCAGCAACAGACAAAGTTTAAGAGAAGTAACATTTTTTTGGATTCCGTGACTGCAATCAAAACAAGACTCTTCGCCAAGTGTGGGAGAGAAAGGGAAAGATTACGTAATATTGTCAGGCAGACGAATTGGCGTCGGAATCAAAAGCTGTAAATATTTTTAACTCCCATCTCGTGGGTAATCTTGAATTCTAGTTTGTCTAAACCCGCAAACTGAAACAAAGCGCCTAACAAGAATAAACTCCTTGAAATGAATTCTCTGAAAAGCAGGAAGTTATCCGATTACGTAAGATCACCGGTCATGTTTAGATGAATCAAAGCTTATGTCACCTTTACGATCACAGCTGTCTTCCAAATGAACAGAAACTAAAATTGTATTTCACACGAAATGTTTTGAGATTGAAGTAAGTTTACCGGCCATGTTTCAGACGATTTGAAACGTTGGTCATCTTTCACCGGCCGGTGGAAAGATCTTGGCTATTAAGATCATAAAAAACAAACAAACAATATCCAGAGTCGCGTTTCACGTGAAAAATTATGACATTGAATGCGCCATTGTACATTTGGACCATAAATTTCTAGAAACGAAATTTGTCAAACAAAAGATGGATAAAAAAAATCGTTAAGTATTCTTAACCGCAATAGCACCGATGCATGATTATTTCACAAACAATTATGTTCCTCCCTTAACGAAGTTCTTTATTTTTGTGAAGGCCAAGGTTGTCGCTATTTCATTGGCTTACTCATGACTGACTCGTGTTACAGGAGATTCTTTCACTTTTTACCTTTGTATCTTCAGCAAAGGACAAAGTTCGGAAAAGCACAAACGTCATCACAATAGGCATGACGGGTAATTCATTAGTTTTCGTTTGTTTCAGTTTTGATAACAAAAATTGTATCAAAGGAACTCGTTCTAGGAATAGAACATCATCAGTGAGATAAACTTTGTATCCGCAATTAAGAACAGTTTGATCGCTGACCATTTTTTATGTGCTAAGTTGAGCCGTGAGCGAGCTTCTTACCGCATTTGCATTTATTTTAAATCACGTAGCATAACATACGAAGTCACCTTAACTTTAGCAAGAGAGGATAAAAGGAAAAGATAGCCATAATCCTCAAGAGTTTCTTTGACATAATATATAAACAAATTATCTACCTTGGAAACGTGAATAACATCAGCGTCAAGCGTGCAGGCTGCACATGTAAGCGAGGAGACACGTGAGAAACCATAATGGGGTTTAACCTCAATAACTCTTATAAGAGTTTCCTTGAAATGATAACCTAATAAGGAAGTTACTTTGGCAACATGAGTAACATCGAACTGAGCTTGAAGTGTGCAGACTGCACGTGTAAGTGAGGAGACACGTGAAGGGTTGCACGGAATCGTGATGAATGCGTTAGGGTTTCCGTGCACACGAGTCTGTCGATTACTCACGAATAGATTAAAATTGAAATGAAGAGGAGTGTAAGATCTTAGAGCAGTATTGAAAAGAAATAGACAAGGTTTATAGCCTACAAAATAATAATCTAAGCATCCCTCGCTGACAACGTGTACGAAAATACTTGTCTGCGGAAGTTCGAAATTGTTTGCACAACTCTGGGTTTGAAACGAGAACTGCAAGCGCATCAAAAATTTGCGTTACAATCTGGAACGGATGGGCGTGAAAGATAATTCCAAGAAATGTTTTGTTCCTGAAGTCCTGAAGAGATGAAATAGCCAAACAATGCACTGCGCACCATTGACCCATCCAATTATAAGGAAGCGTCGTTCTAGAGTTCTCGTGTCATTCGTGTGGAGAGCGTCTTGTTGAAACACCTCTGGACATTTGTAAGTTAAACTCAAGAACTGATATCTGATTATGGAGGAGTTTGAGGTAGATGCTGATCTGGAAAGCGATTCGAGCCAGCCAGACCGGTATGTACACAATTATAGCTGTTTTTTCTCCTGTTTTGTTTTTGGTTTTTTTTTTCCTTTCTTAACTGTTCCCATACCCAGTGAAAACTTTCTTCTCTCTGATACAAAAGTAATGCTTCGGTTCTTTTCCGTCAAAAAATTGTACTTATGGCAGAAATGACTCTGACTTCATTTGCAATGGGAACATTCCCGGAAAGGATAATACAGTGCCCGTTATTGAAGAAAATTCGAGATAAAGCCGTTTAGGTCGTTTGTAATAGAGATCCAAATCGCAACAGTTAAGCAGTCAATAACTTTGTCTTTTAAGAAGATTATGGCTTCTTTAACAATATTCGCAGTTCTGTAGCACGATATATGGCTTAAAATTACGATGCAAACTTTGTTTCTGTTTCAATCTACCTTTTTATAACTTCACTGATTCTCGAAACCAGTCTTTACAAATAGAATTAACTTTCAATTAGAAGCTATGCGACTAAGCGAGCTCCAAGTCCTGAGTTGTAAAATTTATTTTGCGCGCACGGTTGCTTACTCAGAAAGAATCAAACTCGTACCATATATTTCCTAGCTGACGCTTTGTGCGCGATTCTGTTCCAAACGCCATAGATCTTGCTTTTAATACGATTGAATTTTTCTGCGATCTGGTTAAATCTCCTGCGAATGAAATCCTGTCCAATATTATTGGAATTCTTCACCCATCAAATTTTCCGCGAAAACATCAACCGAGTGATGACTAACGCGACTGAAACTTTTTGATATTTGATTAACCGGTCAAATTTCTTACGAATTCTTCACCGATCGAAGCTTTGTGAATAAGTCAATCAGACGAGCAGCCTCTGCATCCATCTGATAATGCGCTTTTAACGAAGTAAAGTGAGCACTTGCACACGAGTTTCTTCGTTGTGCAAGAGTGCTGTCCCGGCTAAATTTTCGCGGCACCAAAGTGTCTCAACGGGAAACACTGGTCCAAACAGCCGTCATATTTGAAGAAATGACGATTGGATCACGTCGGCAAAATGAAAGTGTCAATCAAACCTGTTAACAATCAGGGATCTAACCAATAGAACCTTTTTAGTTCCACACGTCATACGTTGGTCACGTGGTCCGAAAGGCGGAAACAACAGTCGCGGCTATTTAAAATTAACTGCGAAGCGTACAGAATACTCCACTATTACTGCGCGTAAACCTCCTCCGCCGGCTTGTCCTCTTCAAGGTAGTTCCTACTTGGCACTCTCCAACCAGAAGCTTTACAAGCTAGCTCTGAACCGAATTTCCTAAAAAAACTGATTTAAGAGGAGAAAGAATACACTTTATTCGGCCTTTCTTTAACGCAGTTAAAAACACGCTGGTTAGCGAAATAACGTAGGATACTATTTGCGCTATTTTTGTAGATTTATAAGCGTTTATAATTATTCTGCGAAGTTGGATGATTATCATAATTATGGAACTCTTGGTACGTGATTATCCGGAAGCTTGGTTTTGAGATAAGAGAAGACAATAATTACAAGTTCACAACCATATTTCGTCTCTAGGTTAAGTACTTTATGCACGAGTTGGCCATAAGTGTGTTCTTTGATTGTTTTCCAAACAAATTTAAGTCAAGTACTTAAACCTAAGTTTTCCAAAACTGAAGTTAGTATCTTGCAACGTGACCTTTAGTACCCCCTTGCATCTACCGGACACGCAGGAGCTCTTAAGAAGCATAGATTTGAACGAAAGTTCATCACAACGCGGCGGTAGCAATTTGTTGATCGTAGCCTAAGAGCGAGTTAAATCAAACTCACAACTTCGCGACGTATCTGAGAGTCTCTGAGAGAAAAACCTAAGCTTTCGTCAAAGGAAAAAACGCTGTCGATGTTCACAAGGCCATTTTGACCACTATCCGGATTTTCGGGGGGGCTTCTTCCATAAGCAGAATCTCGTAGCCCAAAATGGGTCTTGTGAACATCGACAGCGTTTTTTCCTTTGACGAAAGCTTAGGTTTTCTCTCAGAGACTCCCAGATACGTCGCGAAGTTGTGAGTTTGATTTAACTCGCTCTTAGGCAACGATCAACAAATCGCTACCGCCGCGGTAGGTGCCAACGCTGACTTTGCTATAGTTGATATTTATGCATTACTCTTATTTGCTTTTTTTATGAATTCTTGCCTCCAGAAGACATTGCACACAATTAAGCATCTCATTTTAATCCATTTCGAAACGAAAGCTGAAGTTAGAGAGGGAACGTTTCACAGCGGCACGAAAAAAACACTTTAGCGTGTGAGAAATATTGTGTGATATGTGACAATTTATGCAGGTGTTGCATCATGGGAGAGTTTCAGTAACACTGCCATCAAAACCATTCATATGACCTCTTAACCAAAAGAGCAGAAAGCTTAATCGGTGAAGTATTCGCAGAAATTTTGAACAATGATTTTTCGCCGAAAATTTGGCAAGTTCTGAGCCGCCGAAAATTTGACCGGTGAATCAGCTGGAAGAAAAATTCGATCGCATTTAGGACCGAGACCTAAGTCGTTCGACGAAGAATCGCTTTCAAAGCGTTATTGAAAAAACATTATACGATTTTGGATCCTTAGAAAGTTATCGAGCGCCAAAAGTGAATATCGCAATTCAAAATTCGGACTTAGCGTAAATATATCATTCACCACTACAAACGCACATTTAGAATGAAATTTTAGCAGGAAATGTCGAGAAAGATTTAGTCGAAAGTAAACATGCAGCAATGGCTGCTTTTAGAACACAATTATGAAGAGAAAGTCTTGTTTCGAAAATCATTGAAGATATAAAGATAGGTTGAAATAGAGCCTGCATTGTAATTTTTGACACAAATGACGCAAGGTAATCGTCATCTTCCACGGACCAATTCAGTCCGTTATAATCATGATATCGATCCTCTCGGACTTCCTCAATTCGGTTGGTTAATATTACTCCGTCAATTGTACGAACCTATTCGTCGACATAAAATTTATTCTGTTCGTTTTATTCAGTTGTTCTTTCAGTTGTAGTCATGATACTCTGTCGCGGTAAGTTTTACGATCGCTTAGGGTCGTTTGTAAAAGGAAACAATGAGGTAATTTTAGCCCAAGCCGCTAGGCTGCGTTAAAGCCTATTTTTCTTTTTAACCTTGGCTCACTCTTCAAGGAGCTCCTTAAACATTTTTCTGCGATAAGAGAGTCACATGGGCTTTTTGTCTAACTTGCGCATTTCTTCCAAATCTTGGATCATCATAGTTTTCTGAATAAGCGTCAAAATTTAATCAGAAGAGATCATTAACTTTATTATTGCTTTTTGTGCCTAGTTGGATTGATATCGTTTTCGTTTCAATCTCATGGTGTATATAGTTTAATCTTGATGGAGTTGTCCATGTGATGAAAAAAAAATGTGTGTTGCAGACAAAACAACGGCTTTAATGCTGAGATTAAAATGTGCTACCGGAAAAATTCCTTATCAGTCGACCATCGAAGATCTTCTTATTGCATTCTTTAAAAGATGTAAATCTTAAGATTTATGAAATGCATGGACAATGACAAGCGATGAAAGCAAAGGTGTGTTGAGAGTTTAGAGGTTACCTCACCGAAGCTAGACTCTGAACAGCAGGTGCCTTCGTTCGGAAATCATAAATTCTCGTACACCTCCTTACGATATAAATACAACATCAAGCAGGTCCTCCACAATAAACAAAGAATTATCCTGAGGAGAATATTTATCTCTTTTTTTTAATCCCCTTCATTCCTCACTGAATTCTTGAAATCTTGAATTCTTGACAGTGGCACCTCGTTAATTTAGCAGATTCTGTGTCGCAGTTCTTCTATATGTTTCCTAATTACGAAACAAATCGCATATTCACGTCTAGGTCCTATAAGGCTCTGCGAACCAGAAAAAAGACTCGATGGGAATGTAAAGCTACCACTGAAGGACGCAGAACGCTATCATATCGTATTCTTTACACCTACCAGGCAACTTTCGACAAGCTGGGATTCGTTCTAGTTCGGAAACCATGGTTTTTCCTATTCGGATTTCTTGCAGTTCTTATCGTAAGTTGCCTAGGACTCATTCGATTTCGTGCGGACCCACCTTTAGTGGAGAGTTTTACCGCATCCAGTGGCCAATCTAGGGAAGACTTGCGACATGCGTCACAATTCTTTCCTCGCCTCGATGCGCGGCAAGAAGAAATTATTATGACCCCTAAGCTTGGAAATAACATCTTGAGATGGAATTGTTTGAAGGACGCTTTACTTGTGCACTGGACCGTGGTGAACATCAGTGGATTCCATGAAATATGCTTGAAGAATTTGAATCCAAATCCTCTCCAAAAACTTGCCAAACAACCCTGCATTATCAGCAATCCACTCGAGCTAGCTGAATTTCAGTTTGATAAGTTAAAGAACCTTTCTTCCATTCTGGCTCGCGAGTTGAAAAATTCGTCCATGGTTCTCTCAACCGGTCAAACGTTTAATTCTTCATACAAGGAAATGATTGGTAATTTTCAGGCCCAGCCGAAGACATCTTCACAGAGTTCAAGAGCCGACGCCCTTCGAGTTATTTACTTCATCAAAAGTGCAACCGATGGAAAAGATCAGCAAAAAATTCTTGCTTTTGAAAAATCGTTTGAGAATCTCCTCTATCAGATTAGTGATCGACTGAAATGTGTGTCACTCTCCTTCAACACTGCGAGGACAAAAACTGATGCTCTGCAAAATGTTTTGAAACCTGAATTATGGTCACTTTGCTTTTTTCCATTCGCAATGACTGTTCTTGTCTTCATTGTCATACACTTTTCCTCTAAGAGTCTCCGTTGGTCATCAACAATGTTATTGATGGCTACTTCTATTTTGGCCCCACTACTATGTTCTGCTGGTATCATCTCAATAGCTCACATTACCTTTTTCCCCACTACCTTGTTTATCCCCTTCTTTTTTATGGCGAAAGGAACCTTAGATGTTGTACATTTCTTACTCGAATGGGAACGGCAGAAAACAATAGCATCACTTGAGCATCGAGTCGGTATTTGTGTCTTCAAAGTAGGATATCCCGCTGTGCTATCTACAGTATGTGGAACACTACTTTCTGCAGTTGCAGTTAAATCTTCATTTGATGTCATTGCACATTTTTTCTTAGCAACCCTTGTCGTTAATATGGTCACTTCTGTGGCCTTTGTGGTGACAGCCATTTTGCTGATATCTCTCCATAAGATGTCAAAGGTAAAAAGTGACGAACCGGAAATGGAGCAAAATCAGAAGAATAAACCACCACGTATTCTGAAAGCCCTCACGCGCATAATGACGTCGTCTGGTGGAAAAGCTGCTGCCATTATTTTCCTCGTCTGTGTCTTCATTTTGTGTACCTTATCTGCTTTACAACTTCTTGACAAAACTAGCACCATTGAGTCACTTTATGGAAATGACAACTTTAAGAAGTTTAAGACTGCACAGACTAAATTCTTTACAAGGAAAGGTGACATCAGTATCCTTTTTTCCCAGAACACTGACTATTCCGAGCCGGCCGTGCAGAATGAAATGGTGAAAATTTGTGATAAACTAAAAAAGTCCTCTTACAGCAATGGAGTAACATCTTGTTGGATGGAAGCGTTACGAAAGTGGGCGATATATCAGAATAAAACTTGCTCATACTCAGCATTTTATACGTGTCTAGGACAGTTCCTGAACCAATCCCGAAACGCTCCGATACGGCAAGACTTGCGTTTTGGACCTACAGAATCCCCATTCAAAATTTTGGCATCTCGAGTTCATCTGAATATGCCACTATTCAACAGATATCAGAAGGACGAGAAATCCGTGGAGATGTTGAGAAAAGACTTATTACAGTTTGACTTGGAACCCGTCGCAGTATCCAAGAGATTCTTCGATCTCGACGATGTGTTTTTGTTAAAACAGGAAGCATGCATATTTGTTTTTGCAGCTGCCACAGCCGTGGTGTTCGTAATCTCCCTGTTATCAACTCTCAACTTAGAGATTAGCACTCTCTTGGCTCTTACAATGGACATCCTATTATTGGAGGCGGCAGCTATCATAGTGGTGTTAGAGATTCCTTTCAACAAAGTCTCTTTTCTCTCTGTCTTTGCAACCAGTATGATAACCCTAAATTTTTGCTTTCAAGTTGCCTACTCATTTGTATTTTCAGCAAGGACAGAAATTAGGTATCGAGTTATCGACGCTATACGCTTTGTTGGGTGGCCTGTGGTTATTAGTTGGTTAGTAATGAGTTGTGGTTCCTTGTCACTAGGCTTCATTTATCCCAGTCTGGGAGACATTTTCCACAGACTTCTTCCTCTAGTCTTTGCTCTTGGGCTGATTCAGGCTCTCGTTGTTTTGCCAGCAATGATTGCACTATTGACCGAATTAGTGCATCTTTTGAGTTCTCGGTGCAGTGCAGATAGTTTGCCTACGTCTAAGGAACAAATCGATCTACCGCCGTTATCTATAGATGTACGGGATGACAACAAACGCCAAATCAAGTCTAAACGCCCTGGAATTTCGATCGTTGGCATCAGTTGCAGATTCCCTGGAGCCAGCACTAAAGACTTGTTTTGGGATCTACTTGAGCACGGGAAGAGTTTCCATGGTGCATTCCCCAAGAACAGAACTGAGCAACATAAATTATTTCATGAATACTACAATCCTCGGCGCTTTGTGAGTGGACGCCTCTGCGTTGTGAATGGCTCCTACTTAGAGGATTTAACACAGTTTGACAACAAGTTCTTCGGTATTTCTGATCAAGAAGCTCGTGCAATGGATCCTCAGCAAAGAATCCTTCTACATGTGGTTTACGAAGCCATTGAGGATGCTGGTATGCGACTTGAAGACCTGCAGGGATGTAGGACGGGCGTCTTTGTTGGAGTGATGAATATGGATTACCCCGAAATTGTAGGATACCCATCAAACTATCATAATATAGACCAGTTCACCGCAGTTGGTAACGCAATGAGTATTCTTGCAAACAGAGTTTCCTTTTGCCTTAACTTGACAGGTCCGAGTATTGTTGTTGATACAGCATGTTCGTCATCTTTGACTGCTCTCAAACTAGCCGCTGACAGTCTGCACAATGAGGAATGCGAGGTGGCGATTGTTTGTGCACCTAACATTGTCCTGAGTCACGTTAAGCAAATGGGGTCAAGCCTTGGTGGACTTCTGGCTCCTGACGGGCGATGTAAGAGTTTTGATGCCTCTGGCGATGGTTATGGCCGCGGAGAAGGTTTTGCAGCAATTGTTTTGAAGTTGACGAATGCAGCCTTATGTGACAAAGATGATCCATACTGCGAAATTATTGCTTGTGGTGTGAACAACGATGGACAAAATGCAGTACCGATTACTGCCCCAAGTGCGAAAGTGCAAGCGGAATTGTCTAAGATGGTCCTAGAACAGTCTGGTTTGACTGCAAAAGATGTGGATTACGTGGAGGCGCATGGAACAGGTACTGCAATCGGAGATGTGGTTGAGGTCACCTCCATAGCTGATGTATATTCTAGAAATATAACATCACCAAAGCGAAAATTAAGGATCGGCTCCGTCAAGTCAAACCTCAATCACACAGAATCTACTTCCGGTCTTGCGGGCATAATCAAGGTGGCGCTGATGATCAAAAACAAGAAGTATGTACCAACTGTCAACGTTCAAGTCCTAAATCCAAAGCTGAAGCTGGAAGAAAACAAACTAGTTGTGCAACAAACAAGTGAGCCGTGGGAAAAAGAGGATGGAAAACTACGAGTAGCTGCCATAAACTCATTTGGTTTTGGTGGATCAAATGTGCATTTAATCCTTCGCGAAATTACTGCAAAGCAAATGTCGCATGAAGAAAGTGTTCTTCACCGAAGCCATGTTCTTACCCTGTCAGCGCGTTCTAAAGAAGCTTTACAAAAGATGGCTCATCAGTACTCTGAATGGATTAAAGATAACGTGGAAGAAATGGATGAAACCTTCACAGAAAACTTGTGCTTCTCTTTGAATGAATGCCGAAGTCGGTTTCCGTACCGGTTGGCAGTTCCTTTCAACTCCACTGCTGAAGCATCTCACTCTTTGGCAGCTTTCGCTGATGACTGCGTGGGTTGGGATAAGCTGGTTTCTTACGCCGAAGCGAGCTCTAACAACGGAAAATTTGTTTTCATGTTTGGTGGTCAAGGATCACAATGGTATGCAATGGGAAGACAGCTAATTGAATGTGAAGCCACCTTCAGAGACGCTGTCTTAGTGGTGAACGATTTACTTCAGAATTTAGGCGCGACATGGTCTCTCATGGATGAGTTGATGGCACCCGAGGGAGACTCAAGAATTTCTGAGAATTACATCGCTCAGCCAGCAACGTTTGCCATCCAATATGCGACTGCAAAACTATTAATGTCATGGAAAATCCATCCATCTGCCGTGATTGGGCACAGCTTAGGAGAGTTTGCAGCTGCCTGTACTGCTGGCATCATCACTGTCAAAGAAGCAGTTCAATTAGTCCTAGCTCGGTCCACCCTTCAAGATAAATGCGCTGAAGATGGTGGTATGGCAGCTCTGGGCATGTCCGAAGTAAAGGCGAGGGCGTTATTGGAGTCTTTACAGCTAAGCGACACGCTGGACATAGCCGCAGTGAATGATGCAGACAGTGTTACCGTGGCTGGAGAATCCCGGTCAATAGAGATCCTCGGTCAACATCTCGCAATGTACGCAAAAGATACCTTCTGGCGCATTCTTGGTACAAAACGCGCTTTTCACACCATTTACATGGAACCAATCAAAAAACCGTTTTCTGCAGCTGTAAAACGCATTAACCTGAATCCTCAGCTGTCTAAAATCCCAATGTACTCTACAGTACATGGTGAAGTTCTGTCGGGTCAGCGGTTTAACGGCGACTATTGGTGGCAAAATATTCGCTCCTCGGTCCAGTTCTATCCAGCCATGAAACAACTTCTCGGCAGCGGCTTTAGACAGATTATCGAGATAAGTGCACAGCCAATTTTAGCCCATTATGTTAAACAGATTTCTCGACAAGAAAAGCTAGAAGACCAAGAAACTCCAGTTGTTCTGGCAACACTTCCTCGAAGAAAGGTACCTGTTAAAGATCAACACAAATCCTTTCTTCAAAACACAGTTTGTCAACTGTACACGACGGGACATCCAGTAGATTGGACTTGTGTGCAGAAGAATCCATCAGCAAGGTTTGTTCGTTCTCTGAATTCTCCCTGGTTAGAGAAAACTTTTTGGTACGACGAGCGTTCAACTTTTGCCACAATCCCTCCTTTCGGATCAAAGCAGATAGAAAAGAAACCATCACATCCATTTCTTCCTCAAGAGAAAATGGCCGACCCCTACTCTCACTTGCACTGCTGGGAAACTGAAATTGACCTCCATCGCTTTCCAACACTCAAGGATCACTCTTTCATTCAAGGAGGTGCTGTTATGCCTGGAGCTGTCTATTTAGAAATGGCATTTGGAATGGTGAAGGATAAGTTCGCAAACGTGTCTGGCCTGGAACTTAGTGATGTAAAGCTCTTTAGCATTCTTACCCTGCCCGAAACACAGGTAACTAGAAAAATACGCGTACAGATCAAATTATTTTTTAGCACGGTGGAAAAAAGTAAGGTAGAAAATTGCTTCAGGTGTCCCTATTCATTTTGTATTTTTTCTTCGCTTCTAAGGTCCGATGTTTACGTCTTCGGCTTCAAAAAAGCAGCAGAATTGACGAGGCTAAATTTCATATTACAAGTGTTCAGGATGACGAGTCTGAGATAACATTGAGCAGCGGGAACATCTCCATAGATCTTTTGGAAAGTCGCCATAGTTTTGATAATAAAGGTATGATGTCGTTAAATTTTTGTTTTCTCTCTATCACCATCACCAGGCAATCGTAGTTGTTTTTTTGAATATCAGAGAGCACTGAATTTGTCAGTATAAGTTATGATAACTCATTTCATAAGACAGAGAAAGCCGAATATAATTTCATCGTTCCTGTCAAGACCTCCCGTTGTAATAATCACGGCGTGGGATCTATACTATGGTATAATGTTTCAATATACTATATTTCCATTATTTTCCTGGAACGAAATTTCTTAAAATGCATGGATTGAAAATCATTTGTGTAGAGATGACAAATATTGACATCACCTCACGTCATTTAACTGATCCGCTGTTTTTGCTTTATAGTTTTCAATCAAGGTGGTTCAAGTATAAATGAGCTGAAAGCAAACATGGAACAAATGCCTGTGGAGAGCTTCAAACGACTAACCGAAAAGTTTGGCTTCAATTATGGCCCCAAATTCTCATTAATCAAAAAGATATGGCAACGGGACAATGAAGGATTTTGCTTGATTGACATAAGTGAATCGCCAACCATTCAAAACGAAAGAGGTGCTTACGTCTTACATCCCTGTATTTTAGATGCCTGTCTGCAATCCTGCTTCGTTGCCCTTGGAAACTTAGAGGGCGAGGATACATCCATTGTGCCCGTGGGATTCAAAAGCGTCACCCTTAACCACGTTCCAGCAACCAACCAGCTTTATTGCCACGCCATTGAGACCAAACTTGGAAGTTTTGATGTTCGTTTGATGAGCCCTTGTGGAACAGTTTTGCTAACCATAGGTGACTTTCGTTTGGCTGGGGTGACAAGCACGCAACGTGAATATCCTTTCGAGGAGCTTAGGTACGAAATCCAGTGGATACAAGAGGACTTACGAGAGAAGAGAGGTGCGGAGCCACGTCTGAACTGCCTACTGCTAAAAGAGTCTTCAAGTTTCTCGCATGCCTTATTAAGAAGACTTCAGGAAGCTAACGCAAACCTGACTGCTCTTGACCCGCCAAGTGATGGAAGTCCTAGGGGTACGGTAGAAGAAGCAATAATGGCAGCCATTAATGACATACCACCGGGAAATTCATCACACCTCTGCGTCATAAACTTGTGGCCAGTAGAGGCGACAAATCGACCTCATGACTTCAGTGTAATAGATGAAGTCCAAAGCCTTGCCCTACATAGTTCCGTTTTCTTAATGAAGTACCTAACGGAGAAGAAGTGGCACAACTGCCAAATCTTCCTCGTCACCGAGCGTTCACAGATGTTGGATAGCTCAGAGAAGTTTCCTGGGACAAACTCCTTTCCGTGGTGTTCTACAGTCTGGGGTTTTCGCCGAACAGCAGGCATCGAAGACCCAAACTTCACAATCAAAGCTGTTGACATTAGCAACAAAAGGGATACAGGCGACGTAGATTCTCTAATGGATGAAATTTTGAGTGAAAGCAATGAAGAAGAGGTAGTCTTTCGTGACGGCAAGCGCTTCGTCAATCGCATCGTGAGATCAGAAACTTCCTCAGAACAACCCACAACTAACGCAGTTAAAAGCAAAGAAAGAGCCACCTGGTACCTATCAAGAAACCCGTCTTCATCGACGATCTGCCTACGTGAGAACAGTCTTTCGAAACCATCGTACTCAGAAGTTACAATAGACATTCTTCATTGCTGGACTCCCTCTGAATCTATTATTGATGTTTCCAGACCAAACGGAAGTGTCTTCATTCTTGGAAAGGTGACGGATTTATCAGGAGGGAGCCTAAACACTTTGAAGATTGGAGACGAAGTTTGTGGTATCATGTCCTCAGGCCGGGTTTCGCGCACCGTTACCGTTCCTATCAACAACGTCTTTGTTAAACCAACCAGCTTAACAAGGCAGCAAGCCACATTTGTTCCTGGAAGTTTAGCCATAGCTTTGTACGCCCTTCAAAGAGCAGCAGAAGCAGGAAACGGAAGTCGAAAACTACTGATACATGAAGCAAACCGGGGTCCTGGGCCTGCCGCAGTTGTCCTTGCAAAAGCATTAGGGCACCGAGCATTCTGCACCATTTCTGACGCTTGTCGTTCAGACACAAAAACTGTTCTTACTGAGATGGGTGCGGAACGTGTAATAAATCAGAGTTCCTGTGGTCTCCATGACGATCTCAGTCACAATTTTGATGCCGTGGTATTTTTTTACCCACCTTCCCCCAACTTACTTCAGAAAAGTAGTCGTTCTCTCAAAAGGGGTGGACGTATTATCATTCTAAGTTCCAAATTCCAAGGTGACGTTGTGTTCAACGCAGATACCAATATCGCATATGAGAGAGCAGAAGTTGTGGATGTCCTCAGAGCTCCTCAGGTCTTCCAAAAGCTCAGTGCAGAGAGCGTTCAGTTGCTAAGACGGACAGGAAATCTGGGAACGCTTCTAAGAATTCAGTCAGTGTCTAGTAAGGTAGAAACAGCCATCGAAGTAGCAAATGCCGCCCTCACCGATCCGTCAGCTTCAAGTAGTCATAAGAACGCATCCACTGATATATCATTTCTACTCTATTCGTTCCCATCATCTGAAAAGGAGAGCGGCTTAAACAAGATTCCTATCCTTCCACGTGGTTTAGATGACTGTGGTCTAAGAGAAAACAGAACGTATTTGGTAGCAGGGGGTATCCGCGGATATGGGTTTGAAGTGGCTCGCTGGATGGCTGAGAATGGAGCGCAGTCCATAGGACTCATTGGTCGCTCTAAACCCTCGGATGCCAAACTTCAAGAGGTCCGAGAATTGGAAAGAAGGACCAGCACAAAGATCCATATGTTTCAGGTGGTTATTTTTGGTTGCATGGGTTATAGAATAATCAAATAGCAAATATCTGAGCTTAAAAAGCGAATACATTATCAAAAGACAGCTGAATTAGAGGAATTTAACGAAATCAGAGAGGTCAAATGCGGCATGAAAGCCAAAATGAATAAAACTTATATTACCGCAGTTATAAACACAAGTATTAGCATTTTGAATTCACATTATGCTCATTCAGGGTTGGCCCAATAATGTCATTAGATAGACACCCAGCCAGTTTCACGAGGGCACAAGTAGGAATTCTGTAAAGGCCTGGATTTGTTTCAGCTTTATTTTCAAAACTATTCTAGTTGCGTGCACAACCTCGATGATTCTTTTTCTGCTAAAAGAAATGTAGATAAGGATAAAGTAATCCTAAAAAAATAGATTTCAACAAAAATATACGTTTTTTGTTTCCGTATAGATCGACATATCTGACGAGGATCAAATGTTGTCTCTCAAAGAGAAACTTAAATCCCTGCCAAGCGTGGCTGGCATCGTGAACTCTGCTATGGTTCTCAAAGATCAATTCATAAGAGATTTCACTTTTGAAAGTTTCAGTGTCGTCATGGGCTCCAAGATTAAAGGTTTGTAAATGGTTCAAATGTCTTTTCAATTTATCATTTCATGCAATAGATGTGACACCACATATCAGACATTTTGTTTTTGTAGTATTTTACAATGAAACATATTTTATTTATCCTCCAAAGTTTTAATTTTGGCAGAGTGCAGGGCAGAAATCCCTAATTGCTGCCTATGACTTATTTATACATTCTTCATAGATCAATAAGAATGAGATATGTTTCTGAGTGCATTACAATATTGCTTGTATCACCTGTATCACTTCACTACTACTATTATTGTAACTATGGTTTGTGCTAACAATTTAGTAACATTCAGCCACATTTGTAAGTTTCGATTACATTCCATTGGGGTGGCCGTGGCCAAATGGACTCTTTTCACGAAAAGCTTCAACGTGTTCATTAAAGGTGGTCAACTTGCCCTTCCCCCAATGTTACAGTTTGCTAAAATGCGTCCCGGGACTATTTCAAATGGTTTAGCTAACAGTTTTCAACCAACCTATAGGTTCATTCTTACTACATCAAATGAGCCTGGACATGGATTTGGATTTCTTCGTCATGTTTTCATCCATTGCTTCAGTCTTGGGAAACATGGGACAGACGTCATACGCAGCTAGCAACCATTTCCAAGATGCTCTGGCTGAGTATCGAAGAAAGGTTCTTGGTTTACCGGGACTGGCTATAAACTGGGGACCCATATCTGGAGCTGGAGTAATGACACGAGACAGCCATGTTGCTAAGCTGATGACCATGGGAGGATTGGGCTTTATCCATGCCAAGGATGGTAAGCCAAAATTAAGTAAAATCTCAAGTTATAATATATAAAACTGCGCAAGGAACTCCTCGGCTGGTGAAAAAAGGGAGCTAATCTGAAGCTGGCTGATAAGGAGAATTAATCCAAACCAGACACTGGTTGTTTAAAGCAGGGGTGATCGTTTACGCAGGTGGTTTTGTGAGATTTTTCACAAGCTTGATGGGTGGAATTCATAATAACTCTTAATTCATAAATTCATCACGGGCACCTAGTCGTAAACTTAGCATAGTTCATGTAGAAACTAACCCATAACGGAACATTTCTGTCTCAAAACTATTTTCCTAGGAGTTAAATACATGGCCAGAATTCTCACTGAGGAACCGAGCCGCTTTCAACTTATGCTATGTGGACTGGACTGGCCACGCTACCAGAAGACCTATGAAGGCTTGAGGAAGACACCCCGACTATCGGCTATAACTGCTGAACAAAGCATTTCTGATAACCAGACCAATTTAGCAGTTTCTCTTGTGGAAAGAATTGTGATGGAGAGGGACTCAGAGAAGAAGGAAGCGCTTGTTTTAGAGTACCTCGTTTTGGTTCTTCAAGAGCGTACAGGGCTCACAAATCTCTCCGAAACAGATTACAACAAGAATTTGTATAGCTATGGCATTGACTCAACAGGGGCTCTTATTCTAAAAATGCATTTTGAAGCTGAATTGGAGGTCTCTTTTGAGGTACGTTGCTTCATAAAAACTGACGGTGACTTGCCGAATAAACATTTAGTTTCCTTGACTCGCAGAGAATGGTAAACATAATAGCCAATTGATGACTTATGACACAGGCACATAACTCCCGTTCTCTTCATTTACGTTGAGTGAGATTTCCGTTGCTTCTCGTTTATTATTTCAGACTTTGTCAGCATCATTCATTTTTCGAGGAAATATGCTATAGATTTCTTTATTGACACCAATAAAAAAAATAATCTGGTTGTTTTCAGGTTTTCTATTTCATGCAACCCGATACTACCCTGATCAAATTGTCAAGAGACGTCACAGCAAGACTTAGTGGCCAAACCTCAAGTGGGCGACCTCAAGAAACTCAAAGTCAAGAAAGTGCAACTCAACCGGCTAAAGTAATGGTGGAAATGCCTCATACAACGACACAGGAGCAGCAGCAGGTCCAAGTCGTTCCCCTGTACACTCCTGTCACCTCAGCTGTCAACTTTTTCTGTGTTCACCCCTTTCACCGTTATGCAATGAACTTGGTGCCAATTTCCACTGGATTTCAAGGACAGGTAAATGGTCGTAAATAGGTGATCTTAAGTAGCTCAGGTAATGGAAGCATTTTCTGTATGCTAAAGCTTTCTGTGATACCAATTGAACGTTATCAACACTTAAAGAAGTAACCTTTCTTTTCTGATTCTCAATTTAAGTCTTATGAAAGGTTGGTAAATGTGGTATTTGTCCAAATTTTGAAACTGCACAAAGCGTTAGGACGCTCGACCACTAAAACATTACCACTGAACATTTAAACATTACCACTTTAAAATAGAGTTCACCTCTATACTATCGTTTCAGTACGTCTTGAACCCCACAATGCACAAGTCATCGAAGGGTGCAGTTTCCAATCATTTGAACAACAGTGTCACCTTATAATTGTCACTGAAATTATTCCATCACCTCTCTAGGATCTGGTCTCCTTTTACGCTCTGGGCTTCACCGATCCAACAGCAGTCAGTGAGGACTGGGGCACAGTACGTGAACTTGCCGCACATTATGTTCAACTGATCATGAATAAACAACCTCATGGGCCTTACTTCCTCGGCGGATATTCGTACGGCGGAATCGTTGCTTACGAAATGGCTTCTTTGTTGACAGAGAGGAATCAAAGCGTAGAGTTTTTGGCCATGATTGACACATTTCCTTGGAATCTGCACACGCGGACAATTAGTGCTAGAATGGTTTCCATTCAGGAGGATGCAGCCGCCTCACATCGACACGTACAGGTGTGTTCGCGATCCTTATCACACAAAATAAGAATAAATTTGTGGAATGGCTCTTATGTCTGAACTATTTTCCCACTTATTTGCATTGAAGCCATAAAGAAAATAAACAAACCAACTTCTGTTTTGAAAATTTACAAAAAAAACGTTTACGCCTCTTTCTGAGACTGAACCACTAGCCTTGAAAGAATTTGATAACTTCTTTTTAACTAGCACTAGCATAATTTTTTTCACAAAGAAACAGCAAGAGACTATAACTGAGTGTCAGTTTAAAATCTCTTGTGGAGAGTAATAGGAAGACAAATGATTGACCCTGTAAAATTCTGATGCATGTTAATCCTTTCTACTGATAAAATATACTCTATACTTAAGGCTATCACCAACTCAAAAATGCTCTTCGGATCCATGCTGGTAACTATGGACTCATGTTCATAAATTGCCCATCTTAAAAGTCTTAGTATTTTAATGACCATAATAGAATATCGAACGCTTTTCTTTGTTTACAGTTTCAATTTGAGAACCATCTGAGAAAGGTTGCAGTGGACACCCTGATGATGACAGCTGACGAATATCAGCATTTGCGGGAGAATAATACACAAGACGAGGTTATAGAAGAACTACAGAAATTGTGCCATGAGAAAGGTCTCTTAACCCACGACTTAAAGGCTCTTAGAGAGTCGTTACTGATGAATCATAGAATATCTCGTAGAACACATCTAGAATGGCAGCCTCAAGAGGTACGAAGTGTGATTTATGATATGCGCAATATTGGTTTGATGCCCAATCACAAATGGAGAATATTTTAAATGGTTTTTTACTTCTGCATCCACCTCTAGGTTCGTTATCGTGGTCCCCTTACCTATCTCAAAAGCCAAAACGAGCGCTTTTCTCCGTGGTCCCCCACCTCGGTCGAAGAAATATGGGGTCACCTAGTAGATGGAGGTTCTACCGTGCTGGTTTGTCCCGGAGATCATTTTTCCTTGAGTGAGCTACCCAACGCTGAAGTTACAGGAAGTATCTTAGCAACAGCCATCGCATTTACCTATCGCTCTATGTTCCCTGAAATTGCCAGACCTACAAGAACTTTCAATCAAAGGAGAGCCGTGGAAAAACTTTGCTGTGGAGTTCGTGTGTTCCTTCATTCCAAAAATGGTAATACTCTTTAAGAAGATGCTCGGCTAGTAGTTTTGTTTATGCATATCTATATGAACTAGTATCCGTTGGCGCACTATAACCAATGTAAATTTAGTGATCCACCATCTAATATTTCATATTTTTCATAAATTGAACACAAGATGAAAACATTAATTAAGGTTTCATGTGGTCGATTGTCTGTCATTTAAGGATATCCAAACCTCCTTCCATTCCAGGTAAAAAATTGCCGCATTTTGGAGAACTTCACCTCCAAGAAGATGCCGGCAGACTGGAGCTGAGATCCAAGGTTAACGAAGGAGAAATTAAGGAGATCAAGAAAACGAAGAAGATAATTGACCTGAAAGGTAATCAAAATAATCAGTTAGGCTTCATCGCATTTGTTTCGATTTTTTTTTTGACATTGTATAGTTTCAATAAGGTTTCACGTCTAGACTGTTACGCCTGCACATTCATCATCATTATCTGCCTTAGTAAATTCGACTTTCTACGGCAATCATATCTTAGACCACAACTTTGCCTTATTACACTCTTAACTACATTAAAAAGAATGATAAACGTTCTGTCACTAAACTTGAAAAAAATGTGTCATTAGGTAACTTTAAACCCGGTTTTTATTGTTTCTCTTAGACCTCCGAATGGTTCAGCCGGGAAGAATTGTTTCCAGTGCCCTTAAATTTGCCTGGCGAAAGCGTAGAGTTGGAGCACATCAGAGCGGGAACCTGGAGCAAGTTGCATCCGTAATTACGGGACGCCGTGATTTCAACCTAGAATTCACTGATTATTCTGATCTGAAAGCGTTTTACCACATGGTGGAAGCTGTGTTTGCAGTTAAATTGTTGACTAGTTAGGTCCATAAACTTTGCTTAGGATCAGATCAGTCGCAAATATGAAGGTTTTATTTTTTAAAAAACAACTACTTTGTCGCACCAGAAAGAGTTTCAAAAGCTTTTGAGTAGTAGGTTCAAGACGATAACAATACACTTTATGTTTGAAAAAATATAAAGCTGGAAGTGGCATTCACAAAATAGAAATTAAAAAGAGAAACAGGCGAACCTTTTTCAGCATACGTGCATGAGGAAGGTTGAAAAGTGTGATTTTTTTCAAACGATTAGTTGTGGATTCGAAAACAGAGCTTTAACAGCTTACAGCAATCAAATCCCAACTAATTAACGACCGACCATACTAGGACAATCTTCATTTCAGTACATTAAAATGTAAACTTACATATTGCAAGATTAAATTTCACTATAATCCTCTCCCTCGTTTGATTAACTAAAATTTCAAAACGTGTTGCATTTCAAGACTAGAATTACGATTGAATTCAATGGTAAAATTAAGGAGCAACTGCAGAATACCCGGCCACTCATTTACATGTCATTGAATAAGAATAGCGTCTATTGTGTTATGCCTCGATATTCAAAGCCTACCGACACTTGTAAGTGAGGCGGACCAAAGCGGCCGGGTATTCTGCAGTTAAGCCAAAATTAAAATAGTGGGTTAATAACATTTATGAAATTGAAGTTTTAGCTCATGTGTGTCTTTTTTATGCATGTTTAGGTAGCATCATTCTTTAACTGAAAAAGCACTGGAAAGAGCTTATGATTTGTTTTTTTATTGTACGGTTACAATCGTTTTACTTTTATTCATTTTTCCATTATTCGTAGTTTAGCTGAAATAAAGATTTTTATTGTGATAGTGACCAAACTAGTATTGTGTTGTTTGTTTTTAGATAACATATCTGGTATAAGTCCCAATCTTTACATAGGGGTCCTCTAAGAGAACGCGCAGACCTACCAGTAGACAGAGCTTCATACCAGAGCAGAGGGAAAGCTGAACTCATGAAAGTAAATCTTGCCAATTCAAATACTGAAGCTTTCAATGGCAATTTTTTTGCGCAGGATTCGATTATCAAAAAAGTTTACTTACTTAGTTTACTTTGAAACAATGTAAACCTTTGAATGGCTCTGTTGAAACTTTCCTTAAAATATAAACGGAACAAAAAACAAAACGAGTTATTAGCGGATAGACTTACCCTGGGACTTTAAGTAGCCTTGACCTTCATTAAATTCAACAAATTGTGCACAGTTTAAGGTAATAACTATGAATACCGATTAATAAATATGATAGAAATAACATTTACAAAATCAGCCTCAAGACGCGTCTTTAGCACTACTAGCGGCCAACCCTATAGTCGACTGCGTCCACCAAAAAAACATAAAATAGCACAAGGTTATGCTACCATAGTCAAATACGAACCGTCCTTAAAAATCTCAGTGATGCAGTGAGTACTAATGTCCCAGGAGTAGAGTTTCTTTAAACGAACGAAAATTGTCTTGATTAGCCTTTCACTACCACCTATCAATATTGTGGTATATGACCTTTGATCTTCAGGAAATGTTCTCTATCTCGTGTGAAAGGCTGAAATCTTGTATCCTCCAATTAAACCTCAATACATTTGTCTTGTGAACGGTTGATGTGACATGCCGAAATGCGCTTGACGGCTTTCAATTGAAACTATTGTGCCTTCCACCCTCCATAAAGTTATCGTACCAAGAAAATTTATAGCTTTGTGGGAGGATACATCACAAAATGGGTGATTGTACAATCAGTGCTGTTTGTAGGTTAAATTTGTCGAGAAAAACTGATGTCATTAACATAAGGCTTTGTTTTTGGACGAATTATCCATCTCAGAGTGGAGAGACTGAATCAAGCTCCTGTCAGGTATTTTTGTTAAGTTATATTATTGAACTATTTTCAAGACGTCGCTTTTTACAATTTCTCCTTGACGAAATTATCTTGCCGGAAAAACTTAAACTTTACCCAGCGCTCATTTATATGCAAACGTCCCCGTTTTATTGCGCAAATAGCCACATTGATGGCATTTTGGCCAGCCGATCTATTTTCATTTCCGGCGACCATTATTGTTTACAACTCGCCTTTCCAAGCTTCCACACTAGCGTTTTGTGTATATCCACGAGGGATGGCCAAAGCACCAAACGTCAGTTGAGCAGCAGACTAGGGAAAGTAGCATGGCGTCTGATGATGACTTGTCGTGGACTAAAAAAATTGTTTGTCGGAATCAAAGCAGTTGTCATCCAAAATAGAGTGACGGCAAAAATTATCTGTCAGGATTGTGTTCAGGGTACGTGTGCTTTGAAATGTCTTGAGGGGTCGCGCAGTGTGAAATAGAAACGAAACGAAAACGTTGGATACTATGAAAGTGTGTTCCGCAGCCATTTCTGAACGTGTACATCATAATGAGATCTATAAATATTGACAGACAAACGAAAGGGTACAGTTGAATCCCGGTAACTCGATCGAATCGCCGAGGGAAATTGAAATTAATTCGAGTTACCGGGGTTTTGTGTTATAACTGGGTTTTGAAAAAAAACCGTTATTTCTCGTCGCCGGGAAGAGCTGTCAAAACTGTCTGTCTACGGACATACAAACGTGTGATATCGACGAGGTCAATTGGTCATAATATATATATGTATATGAGATTACATGTAATCTTCGCAAAATGTTATGACTCATTAGTCCGCAATTTCGAGTTATCGAGGGTAAAATTACGAAGAAAAGTACCTGACAGGAAGTAAACATCGCTTCGAGTTTGCAGGGTTTCGAGTTATAGGGGTAAAAATTACAGTAAATATATGAGGCAAATCCAAGGGAAATCAGTTTTGCTTCAAGTTGGCGGGGAATTCGAGTCACCGAGTGTTCGAGTTATCGGGGTTCAACTGTTCAAATGTAGTATCTATTATTCACTGGCTAACTTGAAATCAAGCCAAATGAAAATGATTTTAGGCTGTTCCTTTAAAATCTAAACTTTCCAAAAAATAGTCTAGCCAACGCTTTCCGATTTTGTCCGTCTTCTCTCAGATTATGTACAGTTTTAAGCTCTTTTTGAGATATTGTCGATCAATGTGAGATCGTTACCTAGACGAATTTCAAATTTTAATCATTACGTGACCATTCACTCCTCGCCCGCGTGTCACGCTATTTATACGAGCTTACAAACCGACGGAATTTCAGTTTTAAATGAAAATCATCCGCAAAACACACTCCAAAACGTAACCCTTCCCACAACAGCTAATTTAGGTATGTATCAACGTATGGAATTTTTGAAAATTTTTAGTGATTTCTTGCGAAATCCTCACCACCATTGTTTACCTTGAAATACGTCAAAGTGACACCATTCAACCGTATCTCTAAGGCATTTAATCAAGGCATCGGATAGGATTTTTTCAGAGTTTCACTATTCCTAGGCTTTACATGGAAATTTGGCAGAGGCTAAAGGGACGAAATGTTTTATCTCACCACTCTTGTGCAGTCTCATCACCCTATCTGCAAGCTTTTGAATCCAAGAAATTTGTGTTTCTGAACATCTAAATATTTAGATCACGTTTTCAAGTTAATCGCCTCGATAGTGTTTTTTTCCTTTCAGAAACGTGTCCCTTTAGAATTACTCTCGTTACTAAAACTGAAAGAAACGAAAACAAATGAACTTCCAGTCACGCTTTTTCATTCAGCGTAAATAAGCTTCGCACGTGTTCTCTTTGACTATGTGCCTCACTGAAGCTGTAACGGTAAAAGATAAATATATGCGACAGACTTACCCGACAGAAACGACGGAACTTCGTCAAGGAACGAAGATTACAATTGGTATGTAACACAATTCCATATTATTTACCCTTTTATTCATTTTTTATTCTTATTCAGGCTTTGATTTCATCAATTTCTGACCTGAAAACGTCCCCCATTGAGTAGAACGAGAAATGGCATTACTATCTTTAAATATTTTGCGTGAAATGTTATTCTGCCTCGTGTGTTTTCGTGGTACGTGATCACCACCATGTGAAACGTGACTAAGGCTCCTTTGTTGTAGAATCGTCTGAAGCGCGATCGGTGATCTCATTTACGCGAAAAACTCTCTGGTTATTCTAGTGTTTAAATAAATTTATATGTGTTCAGCGCAGTGTTACAGGAATTTCAGTAAGTAAGGCACGTGAAAATTTCGGTGAAATCCAAAATCAGAGCCATCAGCGGGATTGTCACTTACAAAGCGAATTCATTCGCGTAATAATAATTTTGTTACTCGCTTTTTCGCCACAAAGCAGAATTTAGCGAAGAGCCTGGCACTGAACCCAGAGATCACGGAATTTCTAAATTTACATCATCCAGACTTCGCATGTTGCTGAAGCGCATATGAAAACACCCTTCAATTGGCGCGTATAAAGTCGCAAAGACTCGTGATGTGAATTTATTCTTAAACTAAATATTTTACCGAGTGAACACTTCATTTTTCTCTCTAGAGTCAATCGTGTTATGTCATGGCCAACTTGAAGACTACTCTTGAACTAAAGCAGGAACTAAAAAGCGAACCAAGGTTGGTGTGGTTTTTTGTTTTCATTATTATTAACGAAATGCATGGAATATATTTTACCCAAACAAGCTAAAAAAAATGCAATACACAGAAATTTAAATATGACAGAATAGGAATATCGCTCAGTTAAAAAATAATTTGCCAAATCAAAATATCCCGCGACGATGATTCAAGAAAACCGAAAGCTAAACACATTCGGCAAATGTTTGAAACCGCCGTGAGCCTTGAAAGAGAAATCTTCATTGTCAAACATAACAGCACTTGGTCGGACACTTTAAACACTGCTGGCTATGCGAGAGCAAAATATTACAGCCTGAAAGCCTAGAGAAAAAAGCCTTAACAGTGAGTCCCGTATGGTCGTCTAACATCTTAAACTAGTTAACTAAAAACGACAGAACACCGTGTAGCTCCTTTGCTTTAGCAAGGAATGGAGCAAAACATGTCAATGCTTTGTAAATTTTGCATGGTACCAGTTCTTGGTCATCTTTCTCGAAACTACAACTTGAGAGCTTCGCTTAATTCTGCGTATTTTGTGGTAGGTTGACCATGACGGTGACGTTTTGACATTTATTATCGAAAGTGAACCGTCTGTATTCTGTATCAGCCAAAGATGACTCTCGGTTCTACATAACAAGCTCGCTGTCGGTAGCAAGTTCTAGTCTAAGTAAATTTGCAATTGTGAGGAAGCCAGAGCCGAGTTTTCATTTCCACTACTTTCCTCAGTGTTTTTCAAGAGTACAATCGTATACCTTTGCGCAGCTAATCCACTCTAATCATGAAAAACAACTTAGCAAAACAGCGAAGCAAGCACTTGTTTCCACTCTTTCCACTACTGGTGAAACTAACAGCTACGTGACTAGCTACCAACCTTCTTTGTTCCAAATTATCTGAAGCTTAATAATTTACAAGTCAGCCATTTATCTCTGATTGCATAATTGGCCTATTATTATAACTAGGAAAAAGAGAGGGGAGACAGAAAGCTATTGTTCAACATTCAGAACTCAAAATGTCAAGTCAAAGTGTTGAGTTGAAAGAAAAATTTCATAATTTTGGCAGAAAATTATAAATCGTGATATGACAAGATTTCTTTATTTCTTTATTTTTTTTTTTTCAATCCATGTTGTGCGTCGCCGCTGCCACCCAATGCAACCTTTAATTGTCTTAAAAACGGCGAAGATCAAGAAGCCGAATATATATGGCAAATTTTCTAAGTTCGCGCTTTTTCCACAAATACCCCAAGCAGGCCGTCATACGACTCCATACAGGCAGGAGAGCTACACTCGAAACAAAACACAACTTTTCAACGATCGATGCTCGAAGTGCAATGATACGCGAATAATGATGGACTGTCGGCGAAATACACTCTGGCCACTGAATCTCCTAAGTCAAGTAAGAACCCCTATCACTATCGGTGAACAATATTTCCGCTCCGATGCAAACTACGATAAATTTTCCTTTTTCCGGAACGGCAAAAGGGACTTGTCGCTTTTGGACATGATGACAGCTTGAAAACAACACCTGAATTACAAAAACAATCTCTCTAGCTTTCGGCGAGAACTAATATAAGAAGACTTCTTGATAACGAATGAGCGATTTCGGAACTGTACAAAACTATACAGTGTGCATCGTAAATCAAGATTGGAAATCGTCAATTACGTGACAAGATGAAGCTGACATGAGGTTTCATCAATCTCGCACCTTCCGGTCTACTCTTAATTCATTTTTTTGCTTTATATCTTCTGAAGTAATTTCAAAATTTCAGAAGTTGATAGATCTCTATTTTTTTCATTAGATATTACATTCTCAGGAAACTGAAAAAAAATTTTCCATGTGATGCCTTAAAAAACGGTGAAAATCAAGAAGTCGAATATGTATAACAATTTTTTTAAGTTCATGCTTTTTTCGCAAATACCCCAAGCAGGCCGTTATACGACTCCAAACATATATACTGTCCCCTAGCTTGATTATTCTGTGGCCAGCGCAAGGTGGTAGTGAAAGAGAGCAAACGTTAATTGTTTTAGATTTAAGCCTATAATTTTGATCTTATTAAACAAAATTGCGGGGAGAAATGGTAAAAGCTTAAATTTCGAGACAGTGCCAAGCGAAAATTGAATATCACGCCCTATAACCTGTTCACAGACTTGTCATTGGCCATTAGGTAATAAGACAGTATGTTGACTGTGTAATGTAATGATTATAGTAAATTTGATAGCAGCAATGGTGGTGTTTATAATGATGACGACGACGACTGACAGCCAAAAAATACGTGTTTCATAGCAATATCATAATCATTATTACGGTTATTATTATTATATCATAAGTATTGTTATCCTTATCATTATTATAAGTATTATTATTGTAAAATTGTTGCTTTTATTTGAGTTCGTCTTTTTAACAGAATGTATTTTGTAAATATCGTTTGTAAATGAGTAAATTATTATTATTATTAATTATTATCATTATTAATATTATTATTGTAATCAATATTACTATTATTATTGATACAGTTGCAGTTGTCCACGCTCATTCAATCCGTGTGTACTATGGTCTAAGCTCTGCAGCTGGTATTTGCGTCTTTTTGAAAGCTTTTTCGGTTGGTTTGGTGAAGGGATCGCCAAGAATCCATTGATAACAATCCAGATATGTATCATGTTCATTAGTGTCTGTTCTGTGGGGTTTGTTTGGTTCCAATCAGAAGGAAGAACTGTAAAACTGTATATACCTCAGGAAAGTAAAGCCCTAGATGACTTGGAAACTGCTGAGAGATACTTTCGAGTCAACTTTCGAGATGAGATCGTCCTATTGGTAGCAAAGCGCAATCATCCCAATGTTCTTTATCCTGAGTGTCTGAGACAGGCTTTCCGTGCCCACAAGGCAGTTATGAACCTGGAATCCTATGTCGACTTCTGTATTACACTGTCGGGGAACAAATCCAGATCACCAGAAGACTGCGTGATGACCAACCCACTAGAATTTCTCCAATTTAATGAGATTAACCTGATCGGGAAAGACTTGACACAAGTTCAACTTGAACTAAACAAAGCTGCTAACGACACAAGCTTGGTCACTCGAAATGGACGCCCCTTTTGGTTCAATCTCGACGGAGTATTTGGAAGTATCACCCGAAAACAGGAGATCATAACTGGTGCGAAAGCATTACAGATGATCTATCCCATTCGTGCTCCGTCTGATGACGACGCATACGAAGACGTGCTCAAGTGGGAGACGAAATTTATCGAAAAGATGGCCTCGTTGGTGGACAAACTTTCTTGCTTTGAAGTCCATTATTCAAGCGAACGGAGCATGGATGACGCTATTGATGAAAGCACTGGGTCTGACGTCACACTGGTGTCAATCACTTTCACTCTAATGATCTCCTTTGCTTGCATCATGCTGGGCAAGTTCTTCAATCCGCTGACCGGTCATTCCTTGCTTGCTATCGCAGGAGTGTTTGCAGTGGCCCTAGGCATTTTAGCAGGACTTGGACTGGGCATGTGGTTCCGCGTGCCGTTTGTCAGTTTCGTAGGAATCCTGCCGTTCCTTGTTCTTGGGATCGGTATCGACGATATGTTCATTATGGTAGATGAGCTTGATCGACAACCAAGTGACATGTCAACGATAAAAAAGATTAAAGCAGTCACGAGGCACACAGGTACAACCGTTACAATGACAACCGTGACGGATTTGGTAGCATTTGCTGTCAGCACATCCACTTCGTTCCCAGCTGTAAGGTAGGGCATTTAGATTGATTGCTGAATAAGTGTACTTTTACAATGGCAGTTTGGAAGAATATTGTCTGATTCTTATAGCACTGTCAAGACAACTAATCAAAGAGTGGCTACAAAGTTTTCGGTACTAATATAAGAACCCTCTTTTAGGGGGACTTTTACAAATCATAGCGCGCTCTTGACAAGATTTGCGTAACTTAAGCACAAAAGTTTTTCACTTTTTTCCAAGTTGCTTCATTTGCTTGAAAAACCCACCATTTGAATTCCAACAAGTAATTATATAGAAAATATAAAATGAGAAGAAAGGAGGAAAAGTTAGTGGCCCGTAAAGCAGCTAAATGGTATTGCTGAATTGATTATCTTTAGAAGGATATGGTTTGCTCAGAGATATTCCAACCAGTCTCCAGACAATTGTGAAGGGTAAATTATTCTCATTTAATTGTTTATCCAGTAATGATATAAATACTAGAATGGCCCCTACAATAAATTATATATTTTTTTCATATACTGAAAATTTCCACCGATTTTACGAGCCATTGGCACGTGGAATACGACACTGATCAGTGGTGCTGCCTTATCTTTGTTTAAGGTATTTCTGCATCTACGCCGCTCTCACCGTGACGTCATCATTCCTGATGATTGTCACCTTCTTTGTGGCCGTCATGACCTACGACGTGAGGAGAATTAAATCTGGTCGCAGAGACAACTTTCCATGCTGTTTGGCACCTCGGCCCAAAGATGGAGAGCCAGCCTGGGACGAGCCCGTCGCACAGACGTCAAATCGGGTCATGAAGGCCTGGGGAAAATTCTTGATGTCTCGAGCAACAAAATGCGTGGTTATAATTATCTCGCTGGCCCTCCTTAATGCTGGGATTTACGGAGTCACCCAGGTGGACGAGGCATTTGATGAGAGAATGCTCGCGAAAGATGATTCTTATTACAAACAATTTTTAATGGCTCAGCAAAATCACTTCGACCTTTCCATGCCAGTGAGCATCGTGGAGACTGGTGGGGTCGATTACAAGATGAGTTCCACCCAGGAGCAAATCAAAGCACTGACAAACATCGTCACAGAGAATGAATACTACGAAAAACGCTCGTTATCCTGGATGGACGAATTCTCCCATTACGCTGAGCAAACTAATAAGAGTATCACTGGGCCAAATTTTTTGCCCGCTCTGAAGGAATTCCTTCGCATTCCAGCCTTTTCTCATTTTAGTCAAGATTTGAAGTTTACTGAGGATGGTGCCAGACTGGAAGCCTCTCGGATCCTTGGTTTTATGAAGGGTATCATTAGCTCCACCTTTCATAAAAACGCCATGCTCACACTCCGTGAAGATATCACAGAAAAATCGGAACTTGATGCCTTTCCTATCAACCGATTTTTCATATACTTTGAGCAGTACGCCATTACCACCAGAGAAACTGTAAGGAATCTACTTATCGCAGCCTTAGCGGTGCTAGTTGTCACAAGCCCCTTTCTGATGGATTGTACCGTGACTTTCCTTGTGGTGTTGAACTTTGCAGCCCTGATATGCGAGTTATTTGGTTTAATGGTCATCTGGAATGTTTCGCTGAATTCTGTAACTATGATCATCCTCGTTATGGCCATTGGATTTGCAGTCGACTACAGTGCCCACATCGCACATGCATACATAACGTCAAACGAAGCTACAGCTAATGGACGAGTAGTGCATGCATTGAGTACATTAGGAGCTAGTGTGTTCATGGGAGGTAAGTCATGTGTTTGATCTAGTTTATTTTATACGTTGTGTTAATTTCACCGATCATTTGCACTGTTACTGGAAGTGTGAAATACCAGTGAAAAAAGTATAACCATTGATTTATTACTTTCATGTGAGTATATCGGCAGTGAGTCGACTGCCACGAAAGAAGACTACATATTCTTTACTTGAAGTCGTTGTAACTGTAGTTTTCTTTATGTATGCTTTAGCAAGACGATTTTTTATTTCATGTCCAAATTTTCTTTTGATCTGAGTAACCTCCACATTGTGAAAAGACGGCGACCATTTCGCCCGTTTCTGTGTATAATTGTCTTATTTGGTTGTTGCCGTCTTGTTGCATGTTCCTAGGATTCAGTACCTTCCTTGGCATGGTCGTTCTTGCATTTGCCGCATCGGAGATCTTCCGAATATTCTTCAAAATGTTCTTCGGCATTGTCGTACTCGGTCTTCTTCACGGCCTGTGCATCCTGCCAGTTTATCTGTCCTTGCTGTGGTGGAGACCGTCTGTTATTATCAGATCCCCCTCACTAGGGGGCGCCTCTGGGAAACTTGGCAGTGGAGACGTCAGAGTGGAAGAGATCGACGTGACAGAAAACAAAGTTCAGCACGAAAATAGAAGAGAGAAAACCACTTTGATAGGTAAAAATGAAGCCAGCCACGGAGAAGAACAAGAAACAGACACCGCGCAAGGCCTATTGAAGGATTCTGTCGAAGCATTCGTTGATAAATGGGCACTAACAAGGGTTCCTGATCCTGAAAGGGAAACAAACGTCTAGAGGAGGCACCTAAGACTATTTGGGTAACGCTGCTCAGTATTCCACTAAACGTCCGTTGAAACTGCTGACTTAGCTGACTAAGCTAACTTATTGACGTTTAATCTCACAGAGATATTTCCAATTCAGAGATGAAATCGGGACAATCAGTAGCACACGGGCAACTGAAAACCATTTTGATCCCGGAGCTTTTAAACTAAGTGTTATAAAAGCAAAACTAAAATAAACAAATCGATAATTCAAAACTTAAGTATCCAAAAGAACCCAAAAAACCGCTTCTAGAGCGGGAGAAAAAGTGTGACTTAATCGCAATTGTTTTAAGGCTTGTGCCTGATTGGTTGAGGTGACAGCGTGAGTTTTGTGGGCCATTCCCGATGAACAAAAAAACTAAAACAGTGAAAACTCTACTCCCAATAGTAAATAACTTCTGCCTTGGAGAAAAGTGAGCGATTTTATTTTACTTCGCTTCACAAAGCTCGAAAAGTATTTATAAAAAAGGAATTTAAAAGACATTTATCACATTATTGTATGTAATGAATACCCAAGGAGTAATGTGTGGATCAGTATCAGTATCTGGGTAACTGCCCACCTACCCCTCCCCTAACCCAACATTAACCTTAACTTGTTGTCAATTGACTGTTGTTGAGTTAGAGGAGGGGTAGGTGGGCAGTTGGCAAGATACTGATATTGATCCTAATGTGTTAAAAAGAGTAACACACCTTTCAAATTTTGAAAATATTCCGGTTAAAACCTCATTACTTCATTTCATTACGCGGTACCGTTCTGTTTATAGTTGGCACTAGTTCCAATTTATGAAGCGAATATTTTTCCTGCATTACTATAAGATAAATCATTGGTATCAGTAAAAATTTCGAAATAAGTTTTTTTTTTAACTCGTGTAATTTGTATTCCAATAAAAGCGTGCTACTTAACTTATCTCGACTACAACTCTAACAACAGCTTATAACTATTAACAAAAATCTATGCGCTTATATTCTCATGTGGATGTGTTTTCTTAACCTTGGAATCGGAGTTGACACTACGTCTGTGCCTCATGCGAAGTAAAAGGTATACACAGACGACCGTACAATGAACAATCTGAAGCACTTGAGGCTTAATTAGTGATAGGTGATAATCTCCATAATTAGAAAACAATCACAGATGTGAACCTTACGCTGATAAAACGGCTTTTAAGTCTCATGCAAATGAATTGCTTAAAATAATGATTATTATAGAACCATCACATTTGAGAAAGGAACGACAAGTACCACAAAAATATCATACTTAACTCCTTAACCTCTAAGAGTGGCTAGCATCTAATTTCTGCTCATGATATCACCCCTAAGTCAAACATTACAACTCACAAGGGTAGGATGGGTCGAAATTCAGACCACTCGTGTGGGACACTCTGTTATCGTCTTCTTCTTGTTTCTCTCTTCATGTCTGGCAGAAAAACATTCCGCTAGCGTTATTTTCCAATTTCATCCTCAGTATCGTTGCTTCTTAAACTCTGGAAACGATTGTGACGTTTAAGAAGTGCTTAAAGATTCTTTACCATATCGCATCGATGACGCAGGTTGCGCGATTCCGGTTCACTTCACACAGAAAAAAGGAATCTTAGTGTACTTTACACTTAACTAAATGATTTGATCGACGCTTTTTCGATTTCCTTTAATCTCGAGTGTTTTTATATATCTTTAGGTCTCTCATCACACGATACGTCAACTTTCAAAGAAAAGCAAAACAGTTTTATCTAAGAGTTAATTTTTTTCCATAAGGTTGTGAAGGGAAAATTAATTGAAGAAAATGCCTCAGGGTAATTTTAACCTGGCATTAACGCTTTTGTTAATTGTTTTAACATTGTTACGTCAAGCTAAGTGCGCTCTTTATTTATAAATACTAATGGAGCATCTCCTCCAATCATCAAACATTTGAAAAGCAACTGTTTTGTATTCTGATTTAAAATATTCACCATATCGAAAACATTAATATTTTCACTTCAGTTCGCCGGCGCGATTCACGCACGCAGTAAATATAACTTGATTTACGTCAGGAATTAGTACTCAAAGATTGATTCTCTCTCACTCCAATTGAAAAACTTTTACCGATCGGCGAGACTAGTGAATAGCCAAAACAACTTCGCGTACGTGGTATAACAACGGCCTTCGACATCGGCCACAAAAACCATGAAACAAGTTTCGAATTCGTCCGCCGAAGTGAAGCCAACAAATAAGAGGTATATATATATTTATCAAGTACGGCATTTTCCGAATTTAAATTACGTTTAAGCGCTTCTCAACAGCGAAAAACGAAAAACAATTCCGAACAGCCTCAAAAATACGGGTGTAATATAACATATGTGTTATTTCACAACAGTTCTTTCACATTGAGAACACGTATTCACACTTGTGAATATTCTCTCATAGGTGAAATAACTTGCAGGTGAAATACAAGCAGACTGAAATTTAATTGAGGTCTGTTAAAGATCCTCTGGGAAATGTTACGAATCAAACCTTAAACAGAAGCTAAAATGAGTATTTTTAGCTTTGTTATGCATGTCGTCATTACTCAGGCTTTTCAAAGGAGACTCCCGAGGTGAAATTTCCGGGCCCTTTTTTTTCTTCCTCGTTCAGTCACGTATCGCCGTCTATGCCTTAAACCGCACGCGTAGAGTAGGGCTCAGTGCTCTGCACATCGCTGAGAACAAGATTAGAGGAAGTTTTCGTTTGAAAGGTTATAGCACGGATTCCATGACTTCAAGGGAGTTGAAATCACATAGGAATGAACACGCCGTTCGCGGTAGATCCACACGAAAAGAAGTCGAACATTTTTGGAACGGCTCGGCTGCATGCCCTTCGAGAGATCAATTTACGAGCGAACATTTATGAGTGAAAAAAAAAAAGAAGAGAATCATGTTATACCAAATGAGCTATCAGATCTTAATCTTGATAAAACGCATCTTCAGAAGCGTCATCGTATTTTTTAGACGTGATCGTACACCAAGTACTCGGAATTCCAGTACGAACTCTACAACGTCTTATTCTAACATCAAACTATGCGATGTTAAAAGAAAATGATTAATGAAAGAAAAAGTATTTACTTCACGCCCTAGCTTTACGAACAAGAATAAAGTATTGTAGATTTTTTGTAAATCATTACATATGCAAATTCCCAGACGACCATTCCATCTTGTGACGAAGCTGGGTAGAAAACACTTTCAAAGCTGTAAATCAAGTATCAAGTTGTCGCCGTTTTGTTTTTAAACATTAAGCAACGCACATAATCTATATTTCAACATAAAAATCAAATTTCATTGAGAAAGAGAAGCCCAAGTACACGCAGATGTGCGTCTAGTTACTTTAGAGTTCTCGCACGATTAATATCTTTGCGCTTTCATTAAACCGTTTAATGTTCGGCGAACTTTGAGAAATTTAACTCAGTGATCTTTGAATTTCTTTTTCCCTTCGCTCAGAGAAACCATGATTGCATGGATCATGGATGCACGAATGCAAATTCTTCTGAGGAATTGGAAATTTTATAAAAAAAAAAACTCCGAATTTTAACAAAGAACTGAAACTCTATATTGCGTAATGGCGTTACGTAACAGATGTCAGTATTTGCTTCGAAGTTAGCTTCTTAATATTTGAACAAGTTTCGTCTCTCCCTAAAATGTTACGAGAATCAATATCAAGTCACATAACTCGAAGATACCAGATAAGTATTTCAACTTCCGAGTTCTTGATGAGTTAAAACCAATAGTCAATATGCCACTGAATGTACGTCACAATATCTCGCCTTTGGATGCAGTTTGACACGTTTTAACTGGCATCAGATGGGAAAAACTCGTGGTTTTATTTACAAAGCCCCAGTTGGTTTAAGTCGACGGCATGAGATCATATTCAAAGGCTAATTAAAGGTGGAATGCACTTATCTTGTATATTTTAAAGCAACATAACTCTCCATTAGCGCCATTTTCTTTACACATCCCCACTCTAAAACGCCACCTTCTCCTTAGAAAAAAAAATATTATAAAAACACAAATTAGAAGCGGGTACCAAAGGGAGGTAAAGAGGTCCAAAGCTCGATTTACCACCGGATTTTAGAGAAAAATTACGCGTCAAGTGTAGTTTAAATGGTATTTCAAGCCTCACGAATTTCAAAGTTAAAACTTCATATCTCAGTTTATTATACCTTTCTATAAAATTCACGCGTCACCCATTGATTTTGAGCTTAACCACTCGTCACGTATAAACCACGAAGGGTTTTTACCATTGTATTGTGAATTTTTGGGTGACGTTGGGAATACTTTACAAATTATACTTGTTTTTGAAAGGCTGAGCAAGTTTCCATTTTTGATGCAGCTATAGTTAATTTCGTAAACGAAGTGCCTACTGTGTACCGTACTCATTAAAGGTTGTCAAAAGTTCAAGAGGAAAGTAATGCATCAGACATTGTCTCTCAATGAGTTCTCCCCTCCTCCTCTATGAAATAAGCCAAATCTTCCTCTTCTGGTAAGCTTTCCTGTCCAAAGAATCAAGTTTTATTAACCCCTGGAAAGAGGAAGGGGGCTCTCATCGAAGTGTCACAGGTGATCTCAGATTGGAGAGCCAAGGACAGCAGTTAAGGTTTACAAACACCCAACAATAACACTGAGGGGAGGGGGGGTTCAAAAACTCTTAATAGTAATGTATGCAAGAACTAACCTAACTTTCTATTTGGTTATTATAGCTGCTGCTGTCCGCGCCGACTCAATCTGTGTCTACTGTGGTCCTCGTTCTGCAGCTGGTTTTTACGTTCTTTGGAACGCTTCTTTGGTTGGTTTGGTGCAGGGATCGCCAAACGTCCATTGATAACAATCCCGATATGTCTCGTGTTTGTCAGTGTCTGTTCCGTGGGGTTTGTTTGGTTCCAGTCAGAAACAAGAACTGAAAAACTGTTCATACCTCAAGACAGCAAGTCCATAAATGACTTGGAAATTGCTGAGAAATACTTTCGAGTCAAGATTCGAGAAGAAATCATCCTTTTGGTGGCATTGCCCGGTAATCAGAATATTCTTTCTCCTGAGTGTCTAAGACAGGCCTTTCAAGCTCACAATGCAGTTATAGAATTGGAGTCGTATACCAATTTTTGTGTCACACTATCAGCGAACAAATCAAGGTCACCAGAAGAATGCGTGATGATCAACCCGCTGGAATTCTTACAGTTCAATGAAAGTAAACTGAGTGGTAAAGACCCAACACAGATTCAACATGAACTAAGTAAAGCGTACAACGACACCAGCTCGCTCATGCGCAATGGACGCCCTTTCTGGTTCAACTTCAACCGTATGTTTGGTGATGCTATTCGCAAAGATGGAATCGTAACCGAAGCCAAAGTATTGCAAATGATTTATCTCATTCAAGACCCTAGCGACGACGAAACGAACGAAAAAGTTCTCGCTTGGGAGAAGAATTTCGTGGACAAGGTAGCTTCATTAGTTGACAAACTTCCCTGCTTTGAAGTCCATTACTCAAGTGAAAGGAGCTTGGACGATGCTATCGCCGAGAGCAGTGGGTCTGATGTCTCACTTGTGGCAATAACTTTCACCATCATGATCTCGTTTGCTTGCCTCATACTAGGAAAGTTCTTAAATCCGCTGACCGGCCATTCCCTGCTCGCTAACGCAGGAGTGTTCGCAGTGGCTTTGGGTATTTTGGCGGGGCTTGGCCTTGGTATGTGGTTCCGAGTGCCATTTATCAGCCTCGTGGGAGTGCTTCCATTCCTGGTTCTTGGAGTCGGCATCGACGACATGTTTATCATGGTAGATGAGCTTGATCGACAGCCACGTGATCTTTCAACGGTTGAAAAGATCAAAGCGGTTATGAAGCATTCGGCGCCGACTGTTTGCATGACAACAATGACCGATTTGGTAGCGTTTGCTGTTAGCACTTCCACGTCATTTCCGGCCATAAGGTAAAATAGTGCAAACTAAGTGAGAATTTAACTTACACTAAATTACATCCCTCTTCTCGAATGTAGCACTGATCATCTTAGGCAAGACACTTCTTTCTCGCTCACGAAGCCTCTTTCCATCAGTAATAATAATAACCAATTGTTTGGCAACTTGAGGAGTTCCCGGGGGAGCTCCTGGACTAACTGGGCTATTCACTTCATCCTACAGAGTGAGAGATTGAAAGGGAAATAGTATAGTGGGTCACTAAGCTTTAGTGACTGAATGCGTGGCATGTTTTAAGGATACTTCAGTCTTTCTAAATTTTGAAAAGAAAACCATAAGGGATTAATTTGTAGTTTGACTGTTGTAAATCACATTGGTAATCAATTTGTTAAATAAAGTAACAATAATGAAATGATCAACTTTCGTAGCAATCCTCCTAAAGCGTGACAACAAATTCCTTTCCACCTCCTTCTCGCACGAAAACCCACCGAGAGCTTACTACCTAGACCAGAGTTAGAATCGGCTCAGTTTATTTTCATGATTACCTGTTTGTAAACTAAAAGACTTCTTCCGTTTAGGTATTTCTGTATCTACGCCGGTTTGACCGTCACTTTCTCTTTTCTCATGATCGTCACATACTTCGTGGCCATCATGTCATTTGACGTAAGACGCATTAAGTCGGGGCGCAGAGACTGTTTACCATTCTGCCATGCCCCTCCGCCGAAGGAAGGTGCGCCTGCCTGGGATGAGCCTCTTCCACAGACGTCAAATCGTGCCATGGAGTACTGGGGCAAGTTCGTGACAAAACCGACGACTAAAATTGTAGTCATTTTCCTCTCACTGTCTCTCCTTGGTGCTGGGATTTATGGAGTCACTCAAGTGGACGAGGAGTTTGATAGGAGAATCTTAGCAAAGGATAATTCATACTTGAAACGATTTCTGACCGCTCAACAAAATCACTTTGAACTTTCCATTCCAGTGAGCATCGTGGAGACTGGTGGGGTCGATTACGGAATGAGCTCCACTCAGGAACAAATCAGAGCACTTACGTCAATCGTCACGGAGAATAAACACTATAAAAACCTGTCTTTCTCGTGGATGGATGCATTTGCACAGTATGCTAAGAAGTCTAATAAGAACATAACTGGTGAATGGTTTTTGCCTGAATTGAAAGCGTTCCTCCGTATCCCTGACTTTGCATATTTCAATCAAGACTTACGTTTCTCCGCAGACAACTCAAAGTTGGAAGCTTCTCGCATACTCGGTTTTATGAAGGATTCTGCCAGCTCCACTTTTCGAAAAGATGCAATGATCACGCTACGAGAAAAAATAACCGAAAGATCGAAACTAAATGCATTTCCGATCAATCGGAATTTCATTTTCATTGAACAGTTCGCTATCACGACAAGGGAGACTATAAGGAACCTATTAATCGCGGGCCTTACGGTCGTAATCATCACGAGCCCCTTTTTGGTGGACTTCACCGTGACGCTCCTCGTGTTGCTTAACTTTGCGGCCCTGATATGCGAGTTATTTGGTTTGATGGTCATCTGGGGAGTATCCCTGAACACAGTCTCTATGGTCAATCTTGTCATGGCTATTGGTTTTGCAGTTGATTATAGTGCGCACGTCGCGCATGCTTACGTGACATCTGACAAAGCAACAGCCAATGAGCGAGTGATAGAGGCTCTAAGCACACTAGGTGCGAGTGTCCTAATGGGAGGTGAGTGGTACACTGTAGATGACACAGCGGTCAAACGTAAGGCATCCGCAGGGGTCGCGCAAAAGTTACGAGAAGAAATTGGTAGGTTGGTAGAAAACTGCAAAAGGAAGCAGAAACAGGGAAAAAAACTTGAGACCTTGCGAACAAAAAAAAATATTCAAGTACGAGTATCGGGTATCGTTCTATCGATCCAGAGAATATGAGCAAGAAAATATAAGCTCAAGTTCTCTAGGTTGTCGAGCTGACAGACCTAAAGAATCAAAATTTGATAACTATCAATAAATGATTTTTTTCCGACATTGCCTTGATGCGGCAGTTATGATAGATTTTTGTAAATTAAAAACTCAACTGTTTTTTCATTTTGTTTGTGTCTATCAGGTTGCAGTACTTTTCTTGGTATGGTCATACTTGCATTTGCAGCTTCGGAAATCTTCCGGATTTTCTTCAAAATGTTCTTCGGAATTGTCGTGCTTGGTCTCCTACACGGACTGTGTATCATGCCCGTCTACTTGTCTTTCATGTGCTGGAAGCCCGTTGTTATTAAACCTTCCTCGACTGAGGACGAAACCGAAGAGATGAGTGGAGGAGTGGTGCGACAAAAGGATTCCCAAGTATTTGGCAACGGTTTACAACTAGCATGCCTTGCGAATGAGGAGGAGATTCCTGCTCACCAGAAGACTGCATCGCAACTTTCTGAGGATGGCACCCAAGCCCAGCAAATTGATAAAAACGGAAAGGGCAGCACCCAGCGTGATGATGACACTGTCATCGATGGAGGAATTGAAAATAAGGGGATTACTTCTGATGAAGAAGAATTAAAGTCAATTAAGTCAACAGATGAAAAGCATATAGGCATATAAGCATATTAAAACCGTATAAGCCGTTCATGGCGATTCAATTAGGTATTGGAAATTCACCTTAAGTTAGTCCCCGTATAGGGCTAAAGTTGAAAAAGAATCCATCAAACCATAATAAATTGTTCTCAATTTTTATGGATTTTTCTTCTTCTTTCTTAATAAAATGGATGATGAATGAAACTGAATCTCACCTCTTTGTCCTTACTTGAATCAATCCAGGCCACAGCACACTGTGGTCAGGACTTCGGGTTGGGTTTTTAATACTAGCTGGGTCATCGTATTGTGCTTTTGAGCAGGAAAATTGAAACTCTCTCACACAGAAAAGTAGATGAGTAATAGCACACTGGCAAATTGCTCGTGGGGATGGCGGTGGGGGAGGGGGGCACTTGCGTTGCGGTTAGCTCGAACTCGGTTGATTCGTTAACTCGAACTAATTTTACTTCCCCTTGGTTTAAACCTGGAGATGTTTTGATACCAATGGGAACCTGTTATGATCGGATAAGAAGCTAACTAAGGTATTGTGAGTTCACAAAGATTACATTCGTTTGTCAGTTATTGGAGCAATTTTGCGAAATGATAAGTTTTTTTATTGGTGGAATAATAATCATATTTGGAAAGTCTCACGTGCAACTGCCCAGCTTAAGAGCGGTTAAGGTAGTCGAAGGGACCCCTCAGTCAAACCTAGTCCATATTGGCCTATTCTAATGAGAAATGACGAGAAATTAACCCTGCTTTGAAGGAACTAACTGGAAATGATTTTATTTGAAAAGGGTGAGATTGTAGTTGTAAATGCAATTTTTCCTTCATGCCTGGTTAATTCCCTGGGGGACACGACAGGGGCGGGTTCGAGGGAACGGTGGCCATGTGATAGCTCCATGTGACGTCACTTCACGCAAGCGCAATGGTCGATTACTTAGGAAATCAGTTTAGTTATTCGTTCTCCTCACTGTGTTAATTCTATATTTTTCATATTCACGCTTACTGTAAACCACACTCGATGAACCACACGTCGAAATGAAGAGACGAAGTATTGATCCTTCGAAACTTAGAAGACCTTTAAAACGTTCTCGCATCACAGAATCGATATATGGAAGGTAAAAGTCGAAATGTTGAGTCAGAAACATTGGCCTCTGGCCGCTCGCATTGAAAACCATGAATTTATGGTTGGTTTTCTGATCTGTTCTTAATTTCTGTTTCATCTAGTGTATTTCTGTACGTCAGATTTTTCTTAGTATGGATTATGGTGTTGACTGCCGACTTCCTATTGGAATTTCGCTTTGAATATCTTTGGCCTTTTTGGCTACTGTTACGGAGTGCTTACGACTCGTTCAAGTACCAAGGTTTGGTAAGTCGAGTTACTATTTTCACGTAATTTACCGTAAATCATGCGTTTCTCGTTATTCATTGGCCCTCAGAATAATCCCAACATTGCTAGGCTAATGCGGTTTTACTTTGAAATTGTCCTAGCGTCTGTAATCTCGTTTTAGTTTTGAATTTTCCTGTTACATTTTTTCAGGCTTTCTCTCTTCTGTTTCTCACACTGGCGTTCTGTTCAGACTTAATATGTTTGATGTTTCTCCCTGTGCATTGGTTATTCTTTGCGGCTAGCACATACGTCTGGGTTCAGTTCGTCTGGCATACAGGTAATCCTAGAGAGATAATTTTTAGCCGATAAAAGTTGCTAAAGGCGGGTATAACTTCATTCACTCGAGGAAAATTTCCAATGTTTACATTTCGTCAGGTCGGCTGGTGGATCAAGATATAATATTCCTGAAATCGCCGTGAATCAGATATAAACTATACGGAGTTTTCACAAGTCTATTGGAAGTTTATGGTTAAATATTTCATCATTCTATAGTCTAATTATTGACGGCTTGTTCTGTTTTCAGATCGTGGTTTATGTGTTCCAACCGTTAGTCTATGGTTACTGTTTGTATATGTAGAAGCGTCGGTTCGACTTCGCGAACTGAAAAATCTCCCATTTCATTTAGACTTATGTCGACCGTTCGCCGCTCATTGGTAAGTTTGAGCTTTTTGCATTGCCGTGATACCATTAATTTGGCTGTCTATGATGAGTTATACTTTCTTTTAACAAGGAGGTGGAAGCACTTTCTCGGGAAAAAAGTAAAGTGCTTCCCTAATTTATATTCTTCCCTGACATTTTCAGAGGCAGCTGGTTATTTCATGCAAAGCAGTTCGTATTAGCGTCGGAAGTAAGGTCCTATTGTAGTCAGAAAGCTTCGTCGAAAGGTTTTTCTCAAAATTTGGCTTTTTCAAGCATGAGATTCCATTTTCTGATGTTATCTTGATGAATAAAATATCTCCAATTTGCAATGTACTGCCATTTTTATGTCAGTTTTTCTGTTGAGACTTCGGGAGTTCTCACTTTTGCGAGTAATTAATCATTTAACTACGATTTAGTTTAAGATGCTTAGATGGCAGCTCAAAGAGGATTTCGTCTCTTCAAAATTTAAACGAAAAACGTGATGGTTATTTTTTTTTAAAATAATCTTTTCATTTCACAATTGTAGTTTCCTACTTGCTTCGCGTACATTGTACCACTTTCTTTGGTTATTTTGTTCGAACCCGTTCTATATCTTGCCGTTAATTTTAAACCACTGTGATACAAATTGTTCATTTTTAATGAAGATAATCTGGATAAAAGCACAGTCAACCGTTTTCCTCATGGCACTACCTTAAATGAAATTCATAGATAAAGCAGGCACAGAGAATTTGCTCCAAGAGTTTTTTTGAAATATAAGAAAATTTCTCTAGTTAATAGGAAGTTTGTCTTAAGCTGTGGTAACCACACAAGACTCCCATTGTCAACTGAGCTTGTGATCTTGTTTTCACTTACACCATTTCCCTCCTACATTTGTTTGACATTATTTGATGCAACTGAAAGGCTGGTTAGTCAAGTATTTGTTGACAATGAATGCCTTTTTTCTTGCTTAAATAATAAAAGTCTACTGCACCACCTACAATAGAATTTTTATTTCACTAGCCCTCTTGTTTCTGAAAACCCTAGTAGTTCAGGTTTAAAGATGCTTCATTAACCCACTTGAGCACTGATTTTCAACCCCTAATTTTCCAACCCTCCCAATCATTCAAACCAACTCTTTTACTACTAGAAATTTGAATAATCACAATTTTATTGTGAATGAAAATTTGTAAGTGCATCATGTTTTGATGCCCAGACATAACAGCCTGTGGCTTTAGGAAAAGTGAGTACATCTGACCAATTGTCATGCTACAGTGAGTTTGTCACAGCAGGAAAACAGGGTGCTTAGTATACATTAGATATCAGAGAATTCCCTGGGTGGCATGCATAATTCTCTGTCTACATTTGATGGCTTGTGCATGTTCTTAAGAAATTTTTTTGAGAATTTTTTCCTGTTTCTTCACACGGTTCTCTTGCAACTAAATTTCTCAAAGAAAACCCTGGTTAACATTCTATAGACTCCTATATAGAATATGTGACTTGCACAGAGCTGCTACTTTTAAATTAATGCTCTTTTTGTCTCATTTTGCCTGCATTATACTGATTTTCAGTGTTTTAATACAGCTTTGTTAATATTTAGAGTTATCAACTGATGTCTCCTCTGTACATTAAGCTTTCACTTGTCATTTTGAGATATTTAGCTGATAGCAGATTTTACTGTTTTAAGTGCTATGAATATTGGCATGTAAATTTTGTTCTTATAATACTAACACAATATTGAAGACGTATAGACCTAAATTAGGGCTGATATACGTTGTGTTCTTGAGCAATAACCATTACTTTATTAATTCCTCCCTCAGATATTTTGCTTGTATGTAGAATATGTTTGAAGAAAATTCCCCTCCCTAAACTTGCCACTTCACTGCTGATATCTAAAAGCGAACCCTCTTTTTTGTTGGCTACTGATGGGAATCTGTTGCCCTTTTTGAGGCAATATCTGATTTAATGAAAGAGTTCTTTGACTGATCTTTTTTTTTTTTCAGCATTGGTTATCCTGTTGTTACACTTGGCTATGGTGTTAAGAGTTATGTAGGCTATAAAATGCGTCAGGTAAGGACAGCTCTCAGCATGATGTTAAATGGCCACGTGTGATCATTTCTCTCGTGGGCACAGTAGATGATCGAGAAGTCATCATGCAGAGAGTGTGAAATTTGTGCGTGTGGATGAGCATGTAGTTTGAATTATGGCTACAGTATTGGCTTCAGATTTAAACATAAATAAATTCATTCATTTCACAAATTGCTGATGGCGATGATCACTTACATGGTAGCTGAAACATCAAAATTTATTGTCAAATTTGGACACAAAGCACAACCATTCCTCCATAGGGAAAGTTATTCTTTCTGATGAAGGGTGATTTTGTAGTTAAGCTTTGAACAAACCCTTCATATTGGCATTAACCTGAAGAGAACAGACACATCCTGAAAATTTATGTATGCCAGTGTAATTAGAAATGAGAAGGCAGTTAGAACAACTAAATTTTTTTTTAGTTGTGGGTGACAACTGTTCCCTGTCTGTGACCAAATAGCAAGCTCTTTCATCCAGCAGCAATTTGAGAAAAACATCTCTTATGTTCTCCTGAAGTTTTTCAATTTTTATAATTTATGTATGGAATGTAGTAGCAATGTAGAGCACTGTCAGCTGTGAATGGGCTAGACAGGGCTTATTTTCTCAGCTGTTATTCAAACCCCCAAAATATATTCACATTTACTTTGTCATCTGTCAGAAAAATGCATTTATGGAGGAAACAGGTGGTAAATTTTTGTTCGCAAGGAATTTCACTTTCTGAGAAATCTCTTTATTTTATTGTAATTCTGAGTTTTCTGTGACCTATTAATCACTGAGGAATGTCTAATCTGAGAGAAATCAAGACAAAAGAAAAAAAAAGAGTCACAGAAAATTCTTGTGGGTTAGTTTTTTGCTATTTGCAGGGTACTCAAAGAATATTTTTAGGAATCAGTTTATGATACAAAATTTGAGGCGCGCTGTCATGCTTCCACTGCAGCTGGTGGATTTTTCAGAGCCAGCTTAATTTGACAAACCTGTAGGTGCTAAGGTTATGTTCCATTGGGGGTTCTTATTTGTTTATTTTTATTTTACTCCATTTCACAGAGAAGAGTACAGCATGTTGCTAAAGAAAATGAGTTTTATATGCAGCTAATTAATCTGGCACTGCCTCCTGAAACAAATAACCATGCAGAGGCAACAGAGAGATCATCAAGAGGTATGATGTTGCCTTGCACAGGATTTTTATGGAATTTCCCTTTGTTTAAAACTGGAGTTAGATGGTTAGTACGTAAGGGAAGGTTTAGTGAATGGCAGATGGTCATCAAAAAATAAATTTATATATTTTTTTACAAATCAAATTTAAATTACGTTTAAACCAAATTATTATGTTTGGATAGATAAATTCCACATTTCTCCAAGCTGTGACCATTGTGTTTATTTCAGGTAGTCACAAAACATTTTGGCAACTAAACTTTTAGGTTGCCAGATTGCCTTCCTGTATTTAGTATTCGTGCTCCAAAGCTTAAGCTTTCCACTTCTTATCATTCAGGGTCTTTAGTTGATGTGAAGTAAACTTTTACAAGAAATGTTATTTATACTACGTCATTGCCTTTTTCTCCGGAGTTGTTTTGTGCAGTTAAGAATATTGTGCTTTTCTTTGATTGTTTTTGTTGTTTTTGTTTTTTTTAACTTCATTGGTGACTAAAGTTTCATTTCTGAAGAACATTTGAAGATTTGGGGGCGCCAAATGGTAACTTGGATAGAGATGACTACACCACAAAGTCGCTGAATTGAAACGGAAACTGGAGCATGGCAGAGCCGTACACGCAGTTTAACTATTTTTGTGTACATGTACAGCTGAAGGTTAAAAATGTTTTGAGAAAGATATATTATTGACTTGGTTTTCTTCATTCTTAACTTTCAGCTATATGTAATGGTAAAGTTGCTAATGGCGAAGTCGCATCACCAAGAGGTCGGCCTGTACCAGTAATGACAAATGGAATTAACACTAAAACAGATCTTGAACTCTTAATAGCTAAAGAGGCCAGTCGTCGTGGCTTAAAACTAAGTGATCTAGAGTCAAGGCCTACTTTGAAGGGAAATGCATTGTTGAAAGAACTTGACGTGCTTTCAAACTTTACATCGAAGAAGACCAGCGAGGATCATAACTTAAATGAACTTGATAAACTTTCGTTAGAGGGGAGTCATAAGAGCGGGAAAGCAGGGCAGCAACCTCGCGCAGCACTCAATGGAGTTATAGGAAAATCCTCAAAGAAAAATGGCGCAAAAGGAAATGAAAAGTTGAAGGAGTACGACGAGAATGACGAAGAGGACAATGATGAGTCTGATAGCGATTCTTTAAGTGCGTCGAGTAGCTCCATCAATAACAGTCGAAAGAACAGCAGGAGTAACTCACCCAAGGTGTGTCTGAGAAGCTCTCAGTCGCTCTATTTTTAGGCCGGTTTTGTTGTTGTTTTTGTGTTTGTTTATTCCTTTCCTTGTTGGTCTCATGGCTGTGATCCTCTCTTAATTTCTCAGGGACATGAGAAATCTCAGTCAGTTGACCTTGGACCCAGTCTCTTTTCTCAACTTAAAGAGGAGAGGCTGCTACGGTAAGTGAAGCATTTATTATGTCTCCGTGGGGTACGAGTTCCTTCAGAACCACAAAGAGCTAAATAGCGGTGTGTGCATTGTGAAAGTAACAACGTTCAATCTTCTTTATCCTTAACTGTTCTTAACCCCTCTTGATTTATAACTGCTTCTTTTGCCGTTTTGCCCATGGAAAAAGAAACATTTTTTCCCCCTTCTAATTTTTTCCAATCCCTATCTGACGAGTGTCTTTGCTGTCATCCCGGGTTAAAATGTAGCGTACCGATTGGAAAGATGTATTTCCCTTCTAACCAAGACTAAAAGTGTTTTGTTTTTTTTGTTTTTTTATTTCTTGCTTTTATTATTACTTTCAGTCGTCGTGCTGAGAGCAATTTATCCCAACTAGAGAATGATAGTAAACGACTCAGAGTGGAACTGCAGACGAGTCGGCAGGGAGAGCAGGAACTGAGGTCCACTATGCACAGCCTGATGGCCAGTGAGCGCTCCACTAAGGTAGAATTACAGCAGTTAAAGGCTGAGTGCGAGGTTATTCAACAGAAGTAAGTAGAGCTGAGTTGTTTATATGCAATAGAGCCAGTAGTTCGTTTCTCTCTCACCCTAAAGAATAACTAAATTCGGAATACATTCAAGTTTCTTTTTCGACAATCTGGAACTACATTGTTCATAGGGTCCTGTACTACCCGATCTCATTTGTTGGGAAAACTTTTCTGTCGATGCAGAACAACAGGTTCTTTGGAAATTTTAAACGGAAAACTTGTGATGCTTATCTGACCTATCAGATTACCCAACCAAAATCATTCAAAACTTGATCAAGTGGTAGTCCCGTGCCTGAAGAAGTTTGTTTGCTTTCCTTCGTTCAGATTTGTTTCCTTTGTTTCTTTGGAGGTTGGATAATTCCGGGCATTCAAGTGAGACTCAGCAAAAGGGAGGGTTAGGAAATGAATTGGATGCATTGAGGAAATTTTTATCTTTTCTGCATAGCTTTCGTTTTGAAAGTATTCTTGTTCTCGAGTATATCACCGCTAGCATTCCGTCACAAATGCTGTAGTCTGAGTGGCTGTGCTACTCGCCATCAATTCCTTGGTAGATATCATTCTAAGTGGATGAAGCGAGTTGCCTGACATTGCGCGGTTGTATACTTTGAGTGGCTTGTATATTTATACTAAAACAATTAGATTATTCGCTCTCAATTTCTATGCTTGAAATTGATTTGGGCTTTGCCCTCAATTGTTATCGTGCGCTAGAAATCTCTAGCACGTTATCTAATTGTTGATTAGAGCAACTTTCGATTGTCTATCGAGAAGGAATCGAGATTGCTTTGGTTTTACTTCACACCGCTTTGTAGTTGGTTTAGAAAACTCGCGCGAAATTCTCAACCAATCAGATGCTAAACTAAAACCAGACATGACTTGGCCGCTCGCGTTTCCCCGCGTTTCAGGTAGTTAGCTGGTTTTAAGTTGGAGTCCTCATTGGCTTGTGATATTTCCCCTTGTTCTTTTTAACTGTCGTTATTAGTTTGGTTTTGGTTTTACGGCACTAAATGAAAAGGCACTTTTACCCTCACGCCCCAATATCAGCATGCATATTCTCCATACTCTTCCAATCACATTTTATATGGTACTGACATTAAGAATTTGTGTAAAAATCGATAGCTTCTGTAGTTGGGGATTATTTCCTTTATTTACACGAGCTTAAAGTTTGCTACAGGGGTGATTCTGTAAGGAGAAATTAGATGCTAGTCACTCTTAGAGGTGAAGGGTTAAGTCGCAAAAATAATGGAATGTTTATGATTTTATTCACAGATTGCAAAATATGTCGTCTGCGCGTCAGCAAGATCGTAATACAGTCTCCTCTCTGGAACGAAAGCTAAAAACTGAGCGAGATTCCCGGCTTTTGGCGGAGAGTCAGTTGCGCGAGGAGCGCAAAAGACAAAAAGCTGAGGACGCCGCAGCAAAGCAGCGCGATGAAACGACAGGCCATGATGCGTGTAATGCGCTCAGGATCGAGCTGGAAGAAGACAGCCGCCAGTTGCGTGTTCTTCTGCAGGAGAAGGAAGAAGAAATAAAACGCGTCGACAAGGAGGCTGAAACGCTGCGACAGAAGACCAGAGAATATGACAGCATGCAGCTGAAGAAGGAAACGGAGGTGTTAATGTCTGCGCTGACAGCTATGCAAGGCAAGAACACTCACCTAGAAAACAGCTTGAGCTCGGAGACTCGCTTGAAGCTGGACTTGTTCTCGGCGTTAGGCGACACGCGCAGGCAGCTGGAGATTGCACAAACCAACCTTAAGACCAAGGATCGAGAGATCGAATCCTTGAAGCTGAAGATCGCTGAAGTGATGGCTGTCATGCCCACCGCTACAACCTACACTGCCGGCGATTCGCCCGGAGTTCCTCGCTTCGCCTCCAATCATCTCATCTCTCCAAATCACATTGAGTTGTCCAACAGTGGCCTCGATCCGAGCGCTCCCTGCTACATTCCTGTTTGTAAGAGTCCCAAAGGCTTGCTGTAAGACGCCTGAAGGATTTCCCGTATTTGTCGCTACCCTGATGTTGCTCTTAATTTATAATCTTAACTAAGTTATTGGGTTTGTCAGTTGGGTAGCAAGGTGGATCAAGTTTGCGTGCTTTACAGTTTTTGTCTGGGAATGCTTGCCTTTAGCTTATATTTCGTTAAATGTAATACTAATGTTGTATTAGTTTGGAGAAAGAAAGTGTGGTTGCAGTTTATCTGTTTCTGATGTCATAGCGCGTTACTTTCAAATTCAAGGCGTTTTCGTCGCTTACTTATTGCGTCTGTCATGGTTGAAGTGGAACGATTCTTAGCTTCTCATCAGGCTACGGTTCACACGGTACCGGACGAATTTTCCATCAGTGGAAAATTCGTGCGTTTGGGCGTTTCGTTCACATGGAACCACGCCAAACGTGAGGAAATTTGAACGCCCAAGCGTTGGAAAACTTGAAAACCAAAATAGAGGACAAATTTTTTTCTCGTAAATGTGTAGGCCATGCCTAACTTACCACGCACGTAGGCGACGTTGTGTTGATGTCTTGATAATGTCAGAAAATCAAGTTAAAAAACGTCGTACATCTTTCTGTAAATCGAAAACGTCGAAGCAGCGAAAACGCTGGACGCCATTTTGCATTGGGTTAAGAAGCGTCCTGCGCATGAGGAGACGGTAAAACGCTTAAAAATGTCATAAAATTCATCTTGTTACCAGTTCCATCTGATCAGAACGAAACTTTCGCGCGGTTCCGTGTGAACAGAATGTCCGGTCGAAATCTTTGGCCTGTCGAAAATTCGTTTGGCACCGTTTGAACGTAGCCTTAGTTCGTTCATTGTTGATACTTGTGGACTCCTCTCTTTCCTAACCGCAAGCGAGATTCATAGCACTTTTCACATCTAAGTAATCCTTCTGACTGTAGTTCCTTAGCTGACTGACTAAGCGAGTTACCGCGTAGCTCTTGATGTTAAAGCTGCTTAGCTGTAGACACGTACAACTGTTGATATTTCTTGAGAAAGTAGAGAAAATTACATTATGGTAACGTTGAACATTAGCTTGATAACAAAAAAAAAAAAAAAAAAAAAAAAGAAAACGGAACAATCGGATCACGTTCAGATAATGCGATTTTTCACCGAAAAGTTCAGGAAATCAGCCAGTTTTGATTGTAAAGCATCAGATCCTCCAGTCGCTGCACGCATAGTCTAGAGAGACAATTATTCAATCTCTGGGCTATCACGCGGAATCCAAGATCTTGTATATTTTAGTTAGATAGGGCCTGTTTGTGCGAGTTTAGAAAGGTAGACTTAATAGCGAACAACGCGGGGAGCAGACTAGCATGGATTGTAAACGACCATCGTAAACACGTTAACCTAACTTTTCCTACCTTAAAAACTGCCGCGTTACACCTTCAATTTCACTCTGACTCGCACCTTCAGGCTCTGAGTGTTGAAGGTTTCACACGAAGTATGTTTTGTTAACTATTCCACCCCTCAGCAATTCGGCTTTGTTACGTTTTTCATTTTCGATCATTTCATGAGCTGAGCTCTTTTGTTCACGAGTGCGAGCGAGGAAAGGCGGGGTCTACTGTATTTGGAACTGAGACGTCAACCATGTACAGCCACGCACAGAATAAAAAAGACAAAAAAGTAAAAAAATACATATAAATTAAGATGAAATTGCAGTCAAATATTCATTGCCTTAGTTTAATAAATTATGATGCAGTTGAAGACGTGACGGGTCGATATAGTTTTTGAGTCAGTTACTTGGGGATCCCACGGGACAGTCTCGATTTAGGGCCTCTTCATATGAGCCCGGTTGACCGGGCTGGCCCGCTTACCGGGAAGAATTTCGCCTTGGGTTCATATGAGAAACTTCAGCCCGGTTTCCGAGATGAGAAAAGGCCGAAGATCTTAGGGACAAGTTTTGGCGCGAAATTAGAAAAACAAAACAAAGATGGCGAAACGCAACTGAGTTATTATTTTGCGCCTATCATGGCTTTGGCAACCCTTTTAACTGTATCACTACAGTTAAACGGGTTGCTGATGATGTGGAAAATTCATCAGGCAAAGTAAAACGATGCCATTCGGGCTGCCTTGATGTGTAATGAAACTGCGCTACTAAGTCATCGACCATTTAACGCATGCGCTATTGCGAAAAATTCATCCCGGTAACCGGGATGAAGTGTTCATATGGCAAAATTTTCCTGCCAGCTTACCGACATCCTGGTTGGAAAAACCGAGATCTCGGTAACCGAGCCAGGCCCTCTCATATGAACACATCTAAAATTTTACAAAGGATTTAGAGGTAAGGCGAGATTTCGGAAACCGGGCCAGCCCGGTCAACCGGGCTCATATGAAGAGGCCCTTAGAGAGTGATACGGAATTCTTGAACTTATACCTCGGAAACCACGGAAAACATGAAGTCATCGTCGTCGTCGTCGTCATCATCATATTTTTATTTGTCTTATTTACACAATACAAAAAAATTTATTTACAGCGGTTATCGCTAGAAGGCGAGGAGACCCAGTCAATGCGCTCCTTGTTAGTTAACGTACGACTCAGTTCATAAATGAATCAATCGATCAACAAATAACTAGGGAAAGCAATTAATATCTGTTGGTGGCGAGAGATTGTGTCGGGGCGGGAAACTCGCAAGCTTCACTCGCTTCTTTCCTCTGCATCCCTTTTGAGATCATTCGAAGATCCCTACTCGTATTTTGATTCCTGAGGCATTTGATCCTCTTTAATCTTTCTAATACTCTTACGGGCTGAATTTTCTCTTTGGAATTATCCTCACCCTCAAATGAGGGGTCTGATCATTTATGATCAGTGTTTCATGTTACGTAGTCCATGGTGTCCATGGGCGGCCTTTGTTGAAAACTATTTCTCGTTGGAATTATCCTCACCCTCAAATGAGGGGTCTGATCATTTATGATCAGTGTTTCATGTTACGTAATTCATGGTGTCCATGAGCGGCCTTTGATGAAAACAATGAGGTTTGTGGCTGTTAAATTAAGAGAACAAAACTAATTAATGAGCGAAGGGCGAATCTTACATTAGTCTTCCGACATTTTTCCTTAAGTAATGGGAAAAGAAAAGAAAGAAATCTGTAATGGTAGTTATGATGACAAATCATGACAAGGCATCTATGGCGGTATCGTCCATTTTTTCCCAAGTTCCTCTGAGGGCCAAGCTCTTAATGGTCACATGTTCGAATGCGACAGAACACTCGAAGGTTTGTTCAGCACATGTGCCCTTAACGTGGTGAATCATCGTTTATTTTACAATGTCAGGACCAAAGGCAGTTTGCGTTTTATTGCCCAATAACAGCCCTGTGAAAGGTGTAATCCATTTTGAGCAGGTGAGTTGACCACTAGCCTTGCACAGGCGCCGTGGCCTCGATCCACTCCAGTGTCGCTTAAAATTGGATTCGAATGTACACATCGTACCTTTGGGAGTACACTTTTGGAATTTCTAGATTTACATTTCAGATTTCGTTGGCCTAACCATAAATGGCTGGGAGTTATTTCTCTATGCCAGCGTGACTGTTCGCCTCGTCAATTGCTTCAAACGAGAATTGCACAAATACCTTTTGACTCCTGCGAAGTGCAGTGAATCGACACCCCGAAGCGTTCTAAATTAAGCAGACAACTCCTTCAAACTCGAACATAAACTCTACCTAAACGTCAACTATTTAATTTATGCAATTCGCAAAAGTCAGTCTTCCTTACACCAAAGACACAGAGCAAGATATTTTATTGATAGTGTGACTAAGAGGCTCTCTTTCGGGAGCGTGACGCCCTATTAGAGTAGGAACCGAATTATAGAGCGTTCAATGGAGCATATTTAAATTTGCCAAAGTCTTTGTGAAACAAATTTTTACTACGGTGATACACAACCACCGTGAAACGAAATTTTTGCAATGGCTTGCAAGGGTGGTTCAGTACGCGCTTCGTAGTTGTTGGAGGAGCGGAACAAATTTGATTTTATCAACTGAGTTGATGTTAAAAGTTGTCCACTGAAATTAGTTTCAAAGCTATAGTACCACTTAAATTGGATGGCAAGTGCAGATTGGTACCCATGTACTGCAGTAGTTAACCCTTTTCGCTACTAATATCTAACTACTAACTAGAATTTGTTTTTTAACTAAACAGTACCCCCCAAGGTTATGTTTTTCATTCTTCTCATCACTGTTTTGCTCAAAAGTGTATTGATATTATAAAGAGAAATTACCTTTTCACTTCTGTAAGGGGAAGATATTGCAGCAACAAAGAAGCTGTTCTGTTAGCACAACTGTAGCCAGTCTGCTTACATTTTGAAATACTCTGGGTGGGATACAGTTAAAAATTAGGTGAAGGATAGTTGTGAGATTCACAATTATCATTTATGCAATAGGACCAACTTACAAAGGAAAATACCTAATATTGATTCATAAACGCAGCATTCAGGACTTAAACCTTTCATTACGAACTATCGACAGGTGGGTGACACATGCAAGATAACTGGTGAAGTAGAAGGACTCACAGAAGGAGAGCATGGTTTTCATGTCCACCAATTTGGAGATGGCACAAATGGTAGGTAATTTTTTGAGGTAAATGAAATTTAAATGTGCTTAAAATTCAACTAAGAACCCCATTAATTCAATCTTGCTGAGGAACCTAGCTAATTACTGAAGATATTCAAAGTGTAACTCTTCTTGTTCCAACTTCTTGTCAATCTGGTTCAGCAGCTGAAAATGACACATAGAAGAACCTTGGGCTCAAAAAATGATTTTGTAATAAATAGCATCTGCTGGTGTGAACACAAAACCATTGTGGGTTTGTAGGTGTGGCAAGGTTTCTGAGTTGTTTTCAAAATGGTAGTTAGATCACTTTTTTGAGTCTCAAAATTCAGTAGGTTGTTAATTGCTGGAAATCCTTTCTATTGGCGAAGACTAAAAATTTTTAAAAATTTAAAGATTTAATTCATATCATTATATCATAAGCTGTTATCAGATAGAACATTTAATTTTGTTTTAGGTTGTACAAGCGCTGGACCCCACTTTAATCCAAAAAATAAAACTCATGGAGGACCAACTGATGAAACACGGTACCATAACTCACCCTTTGACCCCTTACCGTGACTGGCATCTAATTTCTCCTTACAATTTCACCTCTGAATCAAATAGAAAGGTCAAGAGAATAAGGCAAACTGTCACCAACTAAGGAAGCTTGTGATCGTTAAACAAATCCTACTTGTCAATACCTTTGGAAATGTAAAGAGAACAGCATGGAGAATATTAGGGTGAAAATTGTTAACACTTTAACTCCCAGATCAAATTTGGCATTCTCCTTACTGTCAGCTATACAATTCTTATAACCCTTTAACTCCCAAGATCTGATTGTTAATTCTGCCCTGTACCTGCCACACATTTCCTTGTAAATTAGTTATGAGAACTTGGTGCTTCATCATGATAGCAGCTTCTACCTGATAAGTTTGAATATTCTCATTACCTGTTTGCTGAAGAATGTATGGATATTGTAGGGAGAAGTTTTATGTTGATCACTTCTGGGAGTGAAAGGGTTAATGTTAGTTCAAAGAATTTAGTATTGGATCAACTAATTATCCCCAAATTCATGTTTTTATTTATTGTCATCACTCATCTGAAGTGATGTTGTAAGGAGAAATTCTGTCTTGGTCACTTGTGGGAATTAAAGGATTAATAATGTTTATACTAGCTGTGTTTTCATTTGGGAAGCAGGAGCATTCTTTGGTTAATTGATCTAATATAAAGGTCCTAAAGAAAAATAAAAAGGAAAATAGATGAATGAGGTGATGCTACTGTACAGCAAGCTTTATTCAACAGACTTACATTTCAGTCAATGTAGGATTTATCATATGGCCAGAAGGGTTACACCAAATTACTTAAACAATAATTTCGGCAAACTCTTAAAAGTGGATTCTAATTTGTTTTGACTCTCTTAAAGACGTGGTTAAGTGCATTATTCAAATTCTATTGCTTTGAAAGCTGCTCAAAGAATTTCCTCTGGTTAGGATTAAAGATTATCCAAAGTTGCCAAATTTGTGTTTTCTAGAAAAAGTGTCTAGCCTATTACTAGGTTGTATGTATTCTGTTAAGCATAATTCAGCTCAATGATTGATAATGTTCCTCGCTGTTTACTTTCCCATTAGTCACTATGGTGATCTTGGCAACATCAGAGCAGGAAGCGATGGTAAAGCCAAAATTGACATGACGGACAAGCTTGTTTCAGTTGTTGGACCAGATTCTGTTGTTGGACGTACAATTGTGGTAGGTAAACCAACTTTAGCTGTGCCTAAGATTTTATTTCTCTAAGTTTTATATTTATGTTTTTTTCAATTGATATTTGAAAAGAAATTGCAATAACCTCTCTGAAAAGTGTACTCCTGTATAAGGGAGATCATATGTGAAATTAAGCTGAGATAAAACATGAAATTCTCCCTTGTTGTAAGACATTTCCCTGTTGTAGGTAATTTGGTTTTATCAACTGAGTTGATAACGTGAATTGGCCACTGCAGTGAGTACATAAAGCTGACAGTTTGAGCATTAGGCTTTTGTGAGAGGTGACTCCTTTCATTCATAAGAAATAAGTGTTTGTCCAGGTAGCTTCTTACTTCACATTACCTTACTGGTCAACAGATAGATATTGAAAGGAGAGGTTCCACCTAACTTTGTTCTGGCAAATGATGCTTGCCAATATGTAATGTGGGTTGCATTTCATGCCAGAAACTTCTGTTTTATTCAACTTGATGTTAGGTTCATGCTAAAAAGGATGACTTGGGAAAAGGTGGAGATGATGAAAGTCTGAAAACTGGAAATGCTGGTCCACGTGTTGCTTGTGGTGTTATTGGCATTAGCAAGTAAACAGTACCCTCAAACAAGGAATTTGACAACTGGAAAGCTTGTTGTGTTAAAAGATGAATTGCTTTCACACTAAAATCTATGTGGTAACTAAAATCAGACACACAATAGTCAATAAATTTAAACTTAGTTTTAAATTGTTTTACTGTACTCTCTTCATTCTACCTTACCACTCTCTTCAAGTCCTACTGCACCATAAAAATGTCAGTAGCACCACCTTGCTCTAAGATGTTGCCTTTCCACATGGGCTCAAAGACACATGACCTCTGGAAGGAGATCGATATTCACCCAGTTTTTTTGGCTCATCTCGCATTGTTCTTCTTGTGCTCAGTCTACTCCTGTAAGCTTTTTTATTAGAAACATTGGCAAGGGGAACTGGAAAATTTCACAACAATTGTGATAAAACTTTCCTTGAATACTACTTTTGCTATAAAGTACAAATACCTCATAATTCTCATTAAGTCCTAAAAGATAAAAACATCATAAAACAGCGAATGGATCAGAGGAGATTCTTAATTTTCTACTCAGCTGAAATTTACACCTACGGATTTGTTTCTTAATTAAGGCTGATACTTGCTCCAACCATCATTCTGCATGTGGTTTGAACAACAACGTCATTTAACCTGCTATCAGATCCTTTTGCCATGTGAATAGAAGCTAAATACTGGTGTGATAAATTTCAAATATTGAATGTATAGTAAGTAATTGAAAGAGTAAATTTGATTGCTTGCTTGTTTCTGTTGAAGGGAATTTTTCAAAATCGTTAAAGTGCAAACTTCTTCCTTGGAGTCATCCCCCTGATCACACCTTAACCATTTTAATTCACATTTGTAAGTGGATATTAACTTTAATAAGAGTTTTTCTTATCATTGATAGCACTCAATAGTCTAGATGACGGTGGGGTTTGTTCATAATCTTCGATTTGTTAACTCAAGTCCACCCCTCTATCCCTCCTCCTTTTCCTCCCACCCCCTCCCCCCTCCTGTTAGGCTAAAATTTTTTTTGAGGTCAGCGGTTTGTTTTCACACGCGAGTATCGAGGCGACAAAGTTATTGTTATGCACTTTTCGCGGTCTTCGCGGAAAAGGGTTATTAAAAAATATATTTGCCCGTGAAAGATCGATTGACTTCCTCCTGGTTATGGCTCATGCAGTATGCCACTTAGCTGGTGACATTCAAGGAACAGTCACATTTTTCCAAGGGGTAAGATTTTCGTTTGAAGTGGCTTCACTATTCAAGATGACCTCTCCTGTGTCAAATAAACATTGTTTGTCAGCTTAAAAATGCATTATTTTAGTATTCTCAAGACGTGGGAACAATTTTTCGAGAGGGCTTTAATTAAAAGTATTGTAAAAGGTTACGATTAGAATGCTTTCATTCTCACGATTAACTAATTAGCTCGAGCTGCATATATCTACTAAATGGCGTACGGGACAGGATCCCATTCAAGTAAGATTAGGGAGGCTATATTTGAAGCTTAGTTAGAGGCAGTGTCTAACCCCTTACCTCATTCCTCGACTTGAGTGCAGTTTTGAATTTTTCCGACTTGCATAACGTGCAGAAACAGTTTTAAATGCATAAGAATTGCGTCAAAACAAGCTTTTGAGAGTTTACTTCGTAAGCTCGCCTTCAGTCGATTAATTAAAAGTTCATTAACTTATCTTGAAACTCACAAAAGCGAAATTAGTGAAGACGTGTTGACACCATTGGGAAATCAATAGAAATGAAAAGATGAAAAAGATCACATCAGCAAAGCGGTTAATTTCAATATTTAACATAGGATTGAGGAATTGTGAACTCATTGAGTAAATTGTTGAACTTTTGTCTTAATTTTAAGCAACCTGGTGGGCCATGTGTAATCAGAGGAATTTTACAGGGTTTAACGGAGGGACATCATGGCATCCATATTCTAGAATATGGGGATATTTCACAAGGTTTGAAACCAATGCTCACTCATTTTTTGCTTTATGGTTCAAATATTTTAATCGGATTTTATGGCTATTGGAAAATTTCAATTTCCTCTCAAAGGAGAAAAATCCTCAAGGGAAATGGGACTTTATTGTTGAAGCACAAGCTTTTCTAAAACATACCACTCTATACACTAACATAGAGTTATTTTTTATATATATTTATAAAAGAAATTACTCAAAAATTGTATAGCATATCTGGATTTTCCTCAAGGTTTGGTGCTTGGAAGGGAAAGAACAAGGATCAAAGTATAAGCCATTTAGTAGTTTTATTTGTAACTTCTACAATATATTTTTTTAAAAAAGATTTTAAACTTTTTTTTGACAAGAGTGGAACAGAGAAAATGTGTCTCCATTGATTAATACCCTAGCCAGTTGTCATATCAATAAAGCAATACCAGCTGAGATACAAGGAAATCCTTGGCAAACTAGCTTATTTACTAGGTTCATATTTTGATTATCCAAGAAGTCTTCTTGGTGCTATTATACTGTTTGAATTTTAACTAGATTTTAAAATGTATGTTTTGGTAACTTTTTGCATCAATCATAATTTATATTTCAGGTTGTAAAAGTGCTGGTGCTCATTTTAATCCACATAACAAGACACATGGTGGACCAGAAGACAACAACAGGTCAGAATTATTTTTTTTACAATCCATAATCACAAAGGGGCGCACACAAGGTCGTGCCCTTCACGTAATTATGCACTTTACACTTACAAAAAAAATATGTTGGCCTTGAGCAAATAAATGTTATTGTCTCACTGAAATTGCCACTTTTTAGCTTATCTCAAGTCATCTGTGGTCTTCTGGAATAAAAATTATATGAAAAAAGAAATCTTCAGCTGTAGGGGACGTTATTCACTGCTGGGAAAGTGTCAATTAGGCTGAGTCTTTGGGAAGCTAGATAGCTCCTGCTGGGAAACCTTAATTTTGGTTTAATTTCCACTTTTTACCAGACTTGAAAACTAAAATTATGTTAATTGTTTTAATATTTTTATAACTTTTGGCTTGATTTGAAGCAACAGACATGCTGGGGACCTTGGAAACATTGAAGCTGATGATCAAGGACAGGCAGAAGTCAACATCACTGATAGTGTTGTGTCATTGACAGGGGAATATTCAGTGATAGGTCGCACCTTGGAGGTCAGTGTTTTGTTTTTTGCAAAGTGAAATTTCATGGGACTTCAAAACATTAGGAAATGTACACATATTTACCTGTGAACACAAATGCATTTCTTCCCTTCTCTTCTACCAGCCCTTCTTGGAAAAAAAAAATTAATAAAGGTAGCCCTATTGTTAAAGTATATTCCTTTTTCTTGATCCTGTGTGCTAGGATCAGCAGAATATCACAACAGAGTTGATGGCCAATCACACAATGTTGGCTGGCAGTTTTTCATGGCCTGCATAAATCATGTCATAATTGGGCTTTGTGTTGGCAATCATATAGAAAATTGCTCTTTTATCTCTCACTAGCAGGTTTGTGAAGGTGTAGATGATCTTGGAAGAGGCGGACATGAATTGAGTCTTACAACTGGGAACAGCGGTGCTTGTTTAGCTTGTGGTATCATTGGAATTGCAAAATATTCAGAGCCTACTAAAGTTTCACCAGATGATTCTGTTTAATCAAGTTAGACATCACACTCATAATTATGATGCACAAATTTTTCAAATGGTGAGAAAAGTATTGTACAGTTATTTTGTTTATAGGTTAACTGGTTCAACCCATGTTGTCTCATCTGGAGCTAAATTTTTTCTCAGTTCCTTTTTTTTTAAATTCTCATGATGCAGACAACAAGTTTTAAGAATAATTAAGATAATTGCTGCTATGTTGGAGGAAGTTCCATTTCTAAATTTAACCAATGCAAACAAACCTCTAGGTTCTCTGTGCACCAAACTTTCTTAAGAAATTGTATGTGCAGGAATAGCTTAATTCGAAAAAAACCTGTAGATTTAAATACAAAACACTGCAGTCCCATGCACGGTGCATCAATTTTCCTTTTCCTTACTACCTGGAGTTTGCTAGTATCATATTCCTTGAATTTGAATCGAGTCTTCATTAGTTTTAGTCTTGCTCCTGATGACTTAAAGGGCAGTGTAAGTCACTAAGTGTGGCAATTTACACCCTAACATCAGTATGCATATTCTCCATACTGTTCTCTATACATTTCCTAAGGTGCTGAAAAGGAGAATTATTTTAAATCCTTTATTCTCATGACCTCAGTTTTTGATTCAGGAGTGCTACTGTAGGAGAAATTATAAGCTAGTCACCATACAAGCTACTCTATATTAACTTCAGTTAAAGAAACTTTTTAACTTTTAAGGATAAATATGATATTTTCACCTAAGGTGATGCTTGTCCATTTTGTAAGTATTAGTAATTGTCAAGGAGTTGTTAGACATATAAGTGACAACAAGAAAATTGTAGTATATAAATTATTTATTAGTTATACAGTATATTAGTTTTATTTAATGTCAAATATTGATTTTCCTTGCAACTTATTATGCAAAACACTTATTAAAGAAATAATAATGTTTTTGCAGTCCCATAAGAAAAGAAAATATTGTAATAAAGCTTTCCACTTTCTTTCACTATTTGAAGACTGATCAGAAGACATAAATATTCAGTTGAACATTGCATATAATTTTGACTTTACTACAAGAATTTGATCAAAAAGAGTTCATTTTGAGCAGGATAAGTCATTGTAACGTTTTCTTGGGAAAGACACGCACATTACCCTCACTTTCTATACCTTAAAAGTAACTCCTTTCTCTTCTGGAGAGTACTCTTTGCCAATCTTAGAAAAGCAGTTTTAGATGATTTCATATTGTGATGCTGTGAAGTATGGTATTATCTTATTCTTTGAAGGTCATCTTTCTCTAGCTTCTTTGTTGTTCTTCAAATTTACTTAATTCCCTCTCCAATACCTCTTCATTCACCCTGTGCTTCATGAGAAATGATCCATTTAAATGGAACACAGGAATTTCATATCTGTATTTCTCAAACCATGCTTCATTTCCTTTTGCTTTGATGTCCACTTCTTCAAACTGAAACTGAGGATTTAGATATATATTATTATCTATAAGCAAACATCTTTGAAGTAAAGTAATAATAATTAGTATTAAATGAATTATCAAGTGAATGTTTGGGTTTTGTCAGGCAAAATTTATTGTAGATGTCAGTACATCTAAATCAATGTAGCTTTATTATATGGCAAGGTAGTCCTAAGGTTAATTCAAGTTTTCTAATTCTTACTTGGTCAGTATTTTGCCATACAAACCATTTCCATGGGAATGAATATATTCCAAAACATTTTTGTTTGCGGAAGCCTACATTTTCAAAATAAACAAGTTTGGTCTGATTGCCATATAATAAACTACTTAATAATCTTGCTTTACTAGGGAATGTTGGTCCTTACTTTTTTTCTATGGACATAATACCACAAGCTTGGGCCAATATTACCCAGTACAGGCCTCAAACTCAGTTAGTAAGAACTTCATGTTTAAGGAAGCATTAAATTGAAGTGTAGTTCACTCATTTATTTTCTACAATCACAGAAAACACAGAGAACTACTATACAGGGGGAGAGGAATTGAAAATAAAAGTATCAGGGATAGAATTGGTGTGCTCTTCTAAAGTATTGCATTATCAATGTTAATGTGTCAACAAGTTTGTCAGCCTGGCTCCTGCCTCTTGCTTGGCAATCTAACTACACTTTTCTTTCTTTTACATAGCCTGATAAATTTTCTTATTTTTAAAGATCTTGTAATCCAGTCTTATTTATAGCCTATTAATGTTGATTTAAGTTGTTGCTAAATTTGAAAAGAAAAAAAAAATCTGATAGTGTGTATACCAACCCTGTGTCTGTAGCTCTCTAAGGCAACCTTGGCTTCATCACAAAGTGGGCAGACATGCTGTACAGAGGCAATAGAGTTGAGAATTGTTGAAAAAAAATCCTCTCCTAGGTTCATCCTTAGCATTGGGAAGGGGTGGAGAAAAAGGGAAGGGTTAAGAAAATCAAATTTGCCAGAACCTTCCCTCACACTGTCCACGCCTTCCACACTCATCTCAATTTCTCCCACTCTTGCAAATTAAAAAGGTGCTTGCGATTTTGCAAGACTCTCACGCATCCAGCTTTTAACTCTATCACTTCCTGTATCCCTTAAGTTCAGCCTAATACCTATTATCCGGAGCTCCTAACCTTTTTGTGATAATATTAAGACTATTTTATTTTTATCCAAGTGAGTACTTATGAATTAGATGTAAATCTAAGTTAATGCCATAATCCTAGTGACACTAACATACATGGAGGAGAAGTTTTAATAAACCTGATCTGTAGGTGAAAAGAAAGAAGCACTCTCTAGCCGAAAAATCTTACCTTGGTGTACAAAGTAAGAACAGGGAGAGCTGACTTGGTGGAAAAACGAGTAAAGCTGCTGCCGTTAAGAGATGTATTACCCAAGTGCAATTTGGTTGCAATCGCAAAAGCAGCCCTCATCCATTTAGAGATAACCAGAGATGCCGGCCCAGCCACCATCTTGGGAGAACGCAAGACGTAGGAAGCCTGGGCATGACTAACTTTACCCATAATACACCTCAAAAGTGTAAGGATCTGTTGATTTGTAATTCTTGTTGCTACAGAGTTTTTAATTTCGATTTCACAAATCTTCTAAACTCCTTTAAACCTTTCGGCCTCAGAAAAATGACTTCACAATACAGGGTATGTTGTGCGGATTTTTTTGCAGTTGACCCTCTTTTAGTGTGATTGAAGTGTTTTTTCGATGTCGATTTTTTTTTCCTATTTGTGAAGGTGGCCGATTCGAAACGTGAAGAGTTTAGAAAGTATCTGGAAAAGGCGGGAGTTATGGATGCTTTGACCAAAGGTGAATTTCTAGTCGATTTCCAGTTCATTTTATTCCTTTTGCTGAGTTTTTTCCCTGTGTTGGTTCAACAGTTCTTGTGAATTTGTACGAAGAACCCGAGAAACCAGCGAATGCGTTAGAGTATCCTTTGTAACGTACGTATTTGTGTTCTGTCTTTTAAACAAAAACTATATATTTCAGCACAGATTGTAGTAGAAGTGCCACCTCTTATCGAGAAGTTGTTACCTATTAAGCTTTAATGGTGATGTTCGATGCATCACAAGTCTGAAATGAATTATTATTGATAAGGACACCTTTGCTTGGTTTTTATTTGCATTTGGTAATCAAAAGTAGGTCACATCGTCCCATTGCACTCACTCCAAGATAAGGCACCCTCCAAATGTAGTCATGAATTCCCATCCCATGCTAGATTCAAGGTAGATCATATCACCCCCCCACTCCCAGGTGCACTCAAGTCACCCCATGTTGGATTGAGTGAGTTGGTTATGTTTGCATTCAAAATTGACTCCAGTAAAAAAATGCTCCTGAAAAAGGAGTAATAGTTAGATGTTATGATGAAGCAACAATGGTTTGTGTAAAAAAATAGGCTGACTTCAGTTAGCCTGACTTGGGATGATATGTCTAGACTGGGTGAGGTCCTCCAACTTGGGGCACTGTTACCATGTCAATCTAACAACTTTCCATGTCCTAATTATTTTTTTTCACCAACCAACAAGTCAATTAGGTTATAGAGAAAATTTTATCATTTTTTATTGCAATTCTAATGTTAGTTGGGTTGAGAACCAGCCACAGGCTGTTACCATTCTTGAACATTCAAGGTGTGGTACAAACCTTTGATCGTGATTTTCCCCATACCTAAGCACTTTAATCTATTATTTTTGTTGGGTTGAGAACCAGCCACAGGCTGTTTTCATTCTTGGTTCATAATTTCAAGGTGTGGCACAAACCACTGATTGTCATTTTCCCCATTGCAAAGAAATTTTCCCTAGCAGGCACAACAAGTAATCAACATATTGCCCCATGGTCTTTTTCTCTATGAGGATAAGTTGGTCTTAGTATTTTACTACTAATAATCTTGGACCTTAATGATGTTGAAGCTTCATGAAGGATCATCTCCATGGAGGTCCCCCTGAAACAGCAGATATTGAAGCTTTGAAAAATGAAGTCTCCGACCTAAGACAAAAGGTTGAGCAGCTGACAATGGAAAACAATGATCTTAAACAAAGAGTAAGTTCAAAGACTTTTTGCATTAAATGGGTTATGTGCACCACACACTAAGTTTACAGTATATTACTCTAAGAACCAATTATGCTTTCTTGGTTTCCAAGATTTGGTCTTGTCAGTGTTTCCATAATGAATATTGGCTCTTTTTTTAATCTTACTGGGCTAACAAAATCTCACTGGGATCACCAAGTTTGACATGAAATCATGAAAAAAGAAACTTAATACCACACTTCCCATACTTGTCATTCCTGCTGTCCTTTCCTAGAATTTAGAGGTTCTAATACCAAATACATGTTCCAAACCACAATGCAATCCTGCAAATGCTGACCTTATGCTTATTCCAGATGACCAGTTAGCATCATAACTCATCAAGAACCTTGCCATGGGTGATATAGGAGTATGGATGTTGTGAAATTAAACTTATAAGCTTTAATTTTTCAATCACACCTTCCCAATGCTTCTTTCTGAAACAAACATAATGTTCTTTTAATTTAATGCTAACCTGCCTAATTCTCCTCAAATGTTCTGGTGAAGCTGAACAGTTTCACCTTTCATAATAACAATCATTTAATTATAACAGATAACATCCCTTTCTGAGCCTCCAATCTCCTCTTACACTCGCAAAAGTGTTGAAAAGCGATTATCTTGGGCTGCGGAAACTCCTGTAAGTCTTGTCAATGCATTTAACAACTGCTGTCAACACTTTGGTGACCTTGTTTCATTTGAATTAAGCACAATTATTTAAAGTAACTTTTGTCTTAAATAGCATCAAACTAATATTCTGAAACAATTAACAGAAGCAGGTATTCTAAATGTAAATCACTGTGTCTATCTCTTCTTGTTATTTACTTTATTGATATCAGGTTCTTGCAGAAACATGTAGAAGTAACTACTTTTATCAATAACCTTTAAATCATTGACAGAAAAGAAAGCAACTTTAAGATGTTTTTAATAAATGATGTGTAAAGCGTAATACTCCTGATATTATATTTAGAGGTAGTAAATATTTTTTAATATGTTTTTAAACTCATCTCTTGAATACTTAAATGTTGGTATAATTAATGGAGGATTATTGTAAGTATCTGCTGGAAAATTGGAAAATTTTAAGCCTTGGATCAAGTGCTATCCTAAACCCACCCAGCCAACATAGAAAGAAAGACTCAGGAAGTTTTCATGGCTCATCATTTTAAAAATTTTCTGCGATTCCTCAGCAATTACAATGATCTTATTGTTACAGTATCTCTTGCTGTTATCAGTGAACATTTGAAAACCACTGAGTTGGTAACAATTTAATAGTCTTCAACTATTTAACTAACCAGCAATCTTGCTAAATGGAAAAAATTTGTTAAAAGCTGGTATTTAAGTGAAAGCTTTTCCAGAGAAAGATATGAATGGTCATACTTTTTTTGATGAAAACAATGTAACACTAAATTAAAAGTAACTTCAAACTAGGTTCAAAGCCGTTCCAACAGCCGTAAATCTACAAGGACCCCAGGGTCTCTTATTCCTCAAGAGCCAATTGTTGAACTTTCTGAATAAAATCTGTGAGTAATTTATGATCTCTGCACCTTGTCTAAGTAATCTCACACCTTTAATAGGCTACACCCATTTGATTTGCAAGTCATATTACAGCCTACTGAGTTGTCAGTAGGAGAACAGGGGGAAGGATGTGATGTGTTTGATAACATTTGGCACAAGACTGTGTACGTAGTAGACTAGGCTAGGAGAGGAAAACGTAAATTAGCCACCTTAAAGGGTAAAAAAGTTAACGTTTCGAAGCATTAGCCCTTCATTAGCCCTTCCCCAATCGCTCTGGCAAAGGGCTAACACTTGAAATGTCAGCTTTTTTACCCTTAACAGTGGCTAATTTATGTTTTCAACTCAGTTGTTAACACTAAATTACCTGTTATATTCTCCCACCAACACAGCACCACAGTTTCTTTAGAAACTTACCTCTTTAGGCTAGGAGACAGATTTATCCCAGAGATACTTGAGTTTCAATTCAGTGAGGCACAACAGAAGTTTGGCAAGCACGTTTTGACATTAGAATTGTTTTGTTATCATGGGTAACTGACACCCTTTCCAGTGACATATATTTTTACTTCTTTTTGAGAGATTTCGCATGTGATGGTTGGTGACACATGGCACTTTAGGTTGAGTTGTCTATGGAAATGAGGAAGGTTGTGCATGACAATAATTTTTAAGGCCAAAACCATGTCACCAAACTGTTGCCACACCTCACTCAACTGAAAATCGTAGTCTTTCATCGTTTTCCAGGAAATCATCCATTGTATATTAATAATTTGATATTTATAACACCCTAACAAACATGTCAAAGAGAAGGAAATGTGAGGAAGTAACCAATATCAATAGTAACTACATGCCTTCTGTTAGAAATCAGATCAAGAAAAAGTCTGAAATTCAGCTCTACCTTTGAACTGTTTATGGTGCAGTAAGGTTCCCCCCATCTTTCTATTCCAAAAGAAAAAGGATTTCAACCATTGCTGAGCATTGGCAAGAGCACAGTGAAGGACTGACTGTCAGATTTGATGGGCAGTTCTTTTGTTTTCAACAACTTTATTTTAGTGGTAATGTTGATGTAAATCTTCCTTTCAGTTACAGTCCTATGAACCACAAGCCGAGGATAATAATCCAGTAAGAGACTGAGAATGTTAAAGTTATTTATTGAATTAATTTCTAATCCCTCTCAGACAGATGGCATATTTTAGGGTTATTTCCTAGGCTTGCCTTTTGTTTGTTAGAGAAGTACACACTCAGTTGTGCTTGCACCAGCAAGCTGCCCAGAAGGCTTCCTTTTTGAATGATTCTACTGGTGACAAATTTAGCCCTTTCTGGGTATTAAATGTCACCATAGCTAAATTCATCAAAGGAATATCTTGCTTGATCCCTGACTGCTTTTTTTTTCCTTGCAGGGAGAATAATTGAAGAAAACATTTACATAGTTCATCCTCAGTGTAGAGAGATCCATCTGTTTTTGTTGTGGATTTGTAGTTCATTTTGTCTTTTGTAAAATAGCAACTTTGTCATTAAAGTGGTGTGTTGTTAAGTGAAATTAAGACTGCTAAACTTTTAATTTACTTTGCTCCTGTGATGACATTAAAGGTCCTGTTGTCCTTGGGATTTCTTGGTCACTTCTTGATGTCTTTCTCTACTAATATGTAACTCAAAACTTTTGGGTTTGAGCTTTTGTAGATTGCCCCCAATTCGTCAATTAAAAGTAAGTTCATGCAGATCATCTAAAATGTTCCACTTTCATTTTTTTGCCCTTGCAAATGATTGAAATAAAATTCAAGATGGAAAAAAAGACCAAGCAAAGGAAGCACTTGTTTTCAGGGAGGTCTCCTCCCCCTCAAAAAGAAAAAAATTTTTTTAAATAAAACAACAGGAAACATGGTCTGGTAGATCTTTACAACTGAAAAACATACATGGAATCTTATGTCTATATTTCCAGTGAGTGAATTGCCGCAGCAAGAGGTTGTGCAAGTAATTTACATTGCATCAACTTTATAATTCGCATGCTCTGTTGATTCTTTCAATACATAACAAGACTTCCTCAAGTTGAAGTTAGTTCAGTCTTATTTTCTTAAATGCATCACTTTATGTCAAGGACTGATCTATTACAGGAAAAAATAATTTATCACCTTCATGCAACACTTATTATTATCATCTTTATTTGAAGACTTTTTTATTTCTGAATTTAATCCTTGCCAAACACAGAATACTACAGGTTGTTCATTTGGCTTTACAGATCAGAGAATACATTGGTTAAATATTTCCAGCTGACCTATTTGAGGTGTTAACAAGTATTTTCTCTTGTTACTTCACACTTTTCCCAGTCTGCTACTACATTTCTAAGCCCTGTAACTCCCAAAGGTGATAAACTAGTAACTTCTCATTGCAATTCCAATAGGTTATCTTGCAAACAGGGTGTGAGAATACACAAGCTCATCAGATGAGTGTTATCTTGATGTAAATTGGAATTCTCATGTCTTATTTACAAGGGAATGTATGGCATTCAGTTGAAAGAATAACTAATCATAACCTGGGAGTTAAAAAGAGTTCAAGAAAATTTGGTCAAGAAATTTATGAAGAGCATTCAGTGGCTTCCTGAAATTATGATTACATCTTAAACTTTGTGCAGTGTGTTTCTGATATTTATCTAAAACAGCTCTCTTACAAATGTCTTAGCAACCTTAACCTGGCCTAGGTTTAACTCAGTAAAGATGAGCTAAAGGGAAGGCTGTTGACAAACAGCAGTTCTTTTCTTTGCCAGACAGCATTGTTGGCATACAGATTTTTGGGGGTTTATTTCCAGTGAGATTGTAAAGTACCTTAATCTTGATCAAGTTGTACATTGTGAGCAAGAAAATGGCTGTACAAATTTTATGAGTAGAATCTTACCAGATGGTGGGGAGAGGCCTGATAAACAGCTGCAGCAGAGTTCCAACAATTAGGAGACATGAAATTGTCATCAAAAATTTATAGTAATACAATATGGAATCTTCAAACCTTAAAGTTCTTTGCTTTTTTCATGGATTGTATGGCTACAGTGAGACCCAAAGGGTGATACATAGAGAGTTCACATGCACTGTATGGCCTTTGGAAACTATGGACACCCAGAACATTAATCTACCAAAGGAAGGAAGCTTCTGTGTGTAGAAGTTCACATCAGTCTCCATTGGATTCTATTTATCAAACCAACACAGGCATTAATTCACCAGGTACTGTGATGACACAACAACCAAATCCTTCGATTCCTGCTGATAAATTTGCTACCTCCTGCCATTTCTGTTGATCTGCATCATAACATTCAACACTCCTTAGCTCTCTGTTATTTCCACCCACACCACCTAGAACAAACACCTTTTCCTTAACTACTACTGCACCTGCATGTGAGCGCGGCTGTCTGAGTGCTACTATGTTGGTCCATCTGTTGGTCTTGGGGTTGTACATCTCACAAGATGCTAATTTAATGGGAGATCCTAAAATGTCCTCTCCACCAATCACATAAACCTTGTTCCCCATACACACTGCACAGGCATCAGAGCGGCGTTGATTCATGGGAGCAATGTCAACCCAAGAATCTGACAAATGGTTGTAATATTCAGCTGACTTTAAAGGAATGTCTTTGTCACTAGAATACCCACCAAAAGCATATACATAATTCAAACCCACAACACAGTGCCTTGTGCGTGAAGCATTCATAGAAGCAACACATTCCCATTTATTCAACTTTGCACTGTAGCGCTGCACAATACTTTGCGGCATGCCCTTTGAATCATGCCCCCCAACTGCATACAGATAATCCCCTACCATGGCCACACCCACACCCGCCACCTCTTTTCGCAATGAAAACAAACTGGACCAAGTGTTAGTTCTTGGGTCATACAATTCTGCACTCCTTGTTACGTTGCCATTTTTAGTTGTTCCACCCACCACGTACACTAGACCCTCGTGCACAGCAATACCATGGTTCTTTCTGGGAGTGGACATTGCAGAAACCTCGAAAATTTGCTTGATACTTGTCATGTACACTTTTGATGAGGCAGTGATGTCACTGTTTTCCACCCAGCCCCCCACCATCAAGATGGCAGTTTGACAGGCACGTGGCCGCATTGAGGCGTACTCAGAATTTTGCACAGTTCCCTTTGGAGTTGAAAAGAACTCTTTCGCTGCAGTAACGAGTCGTAAACAAGATTCGTCATTCTTTACTAAATCATCCTCTTGCACTTCGTTAATCAAATAACATCTTGCCATATAGATCAGGCGGATGCAAGAAAACAGGGTGGGAAAGAGCTTCTTTCTTGTCTCCAAGTCCTGCTTCGTCCATCTTATAACTGATTCGAAAATCTTTTCCTCTCTGGCGACGAGATCGTCGCTGGACACGATCGCAAGCAGCTGTTCTATGCTGAGAGCTGCAAATCCTTCACTTACCGAGACAGCAACGTAATTTTCGAGGATGTGTGTTTGGGCACTGTCACGAAGCTCTCTCACATTGTACTTCTCGGCCATGTACAAGAGAAACAAACAATTCTCTGAGTTTAAATCGCTAATCAAATATTCACAAGCCTTCCCCTTCAATTCAGTCAAAAACAAAAAATCTGAACCAATTGCTAAATCAAGGGCATTCTCCCTAGTGATTTTTATACCACCGCCGTACATGTAATTTAGCAGCTGTTCCATAACTTGAGGTTCGAATTCTTCCATGTGAACTGTATTTTCAAAATTTTCTTTCATCTCATTGGCGAATAAGGCCTTAAAGAATTCACTGTTCGCCGAGAGAACGTTGCGATGTGCCGGAAAACTTTCACCTTGTGCGCTTAGGGTGACATCGCAAAGGGTTCCTTCCTTTCTGAAATCATTCAGCGACTTCATTACGTTGGCACAGAAGATACCTTCTTGAGAGCACATGACTGCTTTTTCATTAGTGTCAATGGTATATTCAGAATGTCGTTATTCCTTCGGCGATTGTCATAATACTCAACCTTGCCGAAACAGGCCAGCAATTACACCTGCTTCTGTTGTTGTTGTTGTTTCGCGGGCGATGTGTAGATTCAGCGGCTATTTAGCGCCGAAATTAAATGTGTGGTGTAAAACTGTGCCTGGTGTCGAGAACGGAATACGTCCCTACCACCTCCCGTCATCGTCCAATATTTACTATAAATGTTTTATTTTTAATTAGATTGGTTTCATTTCAGGCCGAACAAAAAGATTAGAGAAATTGATGATTCCAAAAGAATAAAAATGTAATGAATGCGGTTAATGTGACGCCAATATTTAAAAATTATTCCAAATTTACCCACTAAACAAAAAGTTATGACATTACTCGAGACTCTATAGAAAAATTTCGTAGTCTTCAAAGTAGAAAAGATATCTGACTCCAAAGTTGTTCCCTCCTCGGTTTGCTGTCGTAACGGTCTCCCACTGTGTTTCTTGATCGTTGGTATCCACGCTGTTCGATACCGTTACCTTGTTAATGTTATCTGGTTGAAGTCCTATGTGGATAGCTTCATTGACTCTTCTGGTGTACCACTACGAGTCTCGATCAAAAAACTTTACTTCGTTCCAAAGCTGGAGGTGGCCGGTCTTTTTCGCGTGCTCAGAAACGGCGGAGGTCCGGGTACGGGTTAAACGTATCTTCATCCTCTCTCGCATACGTCTTCCCGTTTCACCAATGTAGATTTTGCCGCATTCACAAGGAATCCTATAAACCACACTTTCCTGTCTAGCTGGATTGCCAGTGTGTCCTTTGGTCGTACTAAATGCGATTTAAGTGTCGTGTCGGACATGAAGACTGCGCAGATGCCTTGTTACGACGGCGAAGCGGCTGTGATACACCTTTTCTATAGGGCTAAATCGCTGTCGATTTGAACTGTGTCACAGGCTCTCTTCTTGGGGATGAGTTTCTTCTTTTCGTAACCTTCTGTACAAAGGAATTACTGAAAAATGGATTGCAGTATTGAAATTCATAGAGAATTTAAAACACTTGCTGATATTGTTTGTCCTATTTGCGATGAACAACTTCAAGAACGTACAGCGAAAATATGAAACTAGAGTGCGATGACGGAACATGTATGTGCGTGTTCAATGCGGGAAAATTGATAGATGTGGAATAGTAAATGAGTTCATCGATTACAACGAACATAAATTCAAAATTACGAGAAAATCAATTTACCATGATGGTAAAACATGGGGTAATATTAGCCACGCGAGCTTCTGTTATATTGTCAGTGGTGTTTACGACGAAATCGTCCACTACAGGAGAAATATATTCAATGTACCATCTGGCCATGCAGGGAAGAGTTTCATTGAAGAATTAACTTTCTGCAGAGTCTGATTTGAACTCCGTTACCTTGAAAGCATTCATGGTGCTCTCAACTTTGATCGATCCTGCAAAAACCGTCCGCTACTTCTAAAAGCAAGGAACACAGCGCAGTAATAGATTGTCGATTAGCTCTCTAGCAGGCTCATCCCGCTCGACAAGAACCCTGGAATCAGACCAATTGGTGTTGGAGAGGTCCTGAGGCTTATGGTGGGGAAAAGCGGTCAGCGGTTCCTTAAAGGAGGAGATACATACCCTAATGCGGCGATCTGATTGGTGCGAGAACAATACCACTCTAAACGCTAACAAAGAGTTATTTTTTTACAAAAAAAAAAAAGTTAAAAAGCCTTGAAGATCCATTTCGATATTAGTCTTCAAATGCTGTAATATTTGTATTCTTTAGCGTCTTTCAGGTTATTACAAACATTTTCATCGCGTTGATCCAGTTGTTTAAGTGATAAAGGCATCTCTACTCAACAAACTTCCCAAATGAATAAGAGTTTCACTGAAAAATAATTAAAATGCGAAGTCTTTAATTAGTTGAAAATATCATAGGACTTACAAACAATAGTAATGTTATGACGCATTTCCTCGGGAAAGTCTCTGTTGTAGTACGTCATCGACTTCCTGTTTTTCTGAGAATGTCGTGCAATACCAAGAAAGCATCAAAACATATGGTTAGGTAATGGAAAATTGATGCGAGATCATATCGCTAGTCACCTATATATAGTATATAAAAAAATACATAGTGTTCAAAAAAAAGTGCTCCAATACTCCTATGTCACGAGATCAGATTTCATCCAATGATTTTATCAAAAAATCCCAATATATGGAAAGCAGTAGAGAGTTGGTGTTTGTGCGAGATCGCTTTTCAAAGCGATCTGGTACCGCCAACTCCTTTCGTATTATCGAAGCCTAACTATTCTAATCGTCCTACAGAGTTATAGGTTGGGATTTTCGAAACAGCTGGACAGTTCTTTCGTCTCTTAATTGTTTTTCCCTTTACTCATGATTATCATTAGCCCACGTAATGCCGATTACCATGATATAACAGCGAGGTGGGTCGAAGATATCCCACGGTCTTGCTAACCCAAGAAGAACCAAAATGGGAAAATCATTCTTATGCTCGATGGGAAACATCTGAATCAATGTTTCCTGGTTCTGTGCTTTCACTTTCAAGTAGTAGTTTCCACTGATTTTGCATCTTATTTCTTCTTTGCCGTTGTACCATTCCCGATAAATAGAGATATCGCTCGATTGACATCGAAGTATTCCAACTGAAGGGCACTGCGTTTCCTTGATGATATATTTTTCCTCTTGAATCTCTCCTGGATGAAATACAGCGGTGACTGACTCCTTAGATAAATCAAACAGCCTGTCGTACAACGCGGCTTCGATCCCTTCGTCTGGGGGACGATCAGCTTTAACGAGTATATCTTCGCTCTTGTGTGGCCAGATTGCATTCGCAGGATTTAAATCGACAACCTCAAACTTATATTTGTGGCCAACCTCAAAAGTCCCCAACCTCCAACTGTTTGTCGTTAGGTTTGTAACAGGTCGGAGAAGCGTGTTTCTTTCTTCGCTCCAGGTCATAACACACTCATAACCAGCTGACATGAAAGTCGATGCAACTACTATCAGATGAAGGTTCTGAGGAGACTTATTTCTGAGGTTAAGCTTGGAAAACGATACTTCTAACGACGCCATGATCTGGTGGCACCGGAGCTTGACAGTGTGATTACAATGTTTCTCGGAAAAAGTCAATCTCGACCCCAAGGTTATTTTGGGTTCCTTGTCAGCGGCATGGTCGCCAAATAATGACCTCTGAATGGAACTTTTATCTCAGAAATCATGGGATTCCGCTTTTAACTACGCATGACTACATTCATAAGTAATGGCTTCCGACACAGCAGCAAAATGACTGCGCATGCTTGTAACGCGCGCGAAAAGGAATGGGAAAGGGAATGACAATATTTCCATATTAACACTACAGCGGCGATATGCTGGCATTTTCAAAATTCATATCGTTTGTTTTAATTTCGCGGGGATAAGCCCTAGTCTTAACAGATGAGGTTTCCATTTTCAAGAAAGTTTCTTTCTAACCTGCTCTGCAACACATCTTTCCCAACGAAGAAAGCGATTTCGTCATGTGGTGTCCAAAAATTGGAAATAGCTCCAACGTTACCAAAAGAGTAAGAAAAGGTGTACACACCTTAATCATATGTAAATCACAGTTTAAAAAAAGTTGCACAGCCTGCTAGGTCTGCACAGTGTGCATGGTCTGCCGTCTGCGTTTTATCATGACCGATGCAACCACTGTATTAAATTATATTTAGTTTCAATTTTTGGACAGTACTATGGTTTTTGTTGAAAAGGAAAGCTCAACAAGTCATTTGAGATAGAAGGGAACTATTTTCGAGCTGTTTTGTTGACAGTTCACCATAAAGTCAATTTCGGGTTACAAACATTGGCCACCTTTTCCCAGTCGGAACAATGTTATGCTGTGCTAGAACAACTTTTTAGTCCAACATTTATCTACAAATTTGAACTACCAGTTCTTTTGATACCGTCAAATCACTTGAAGAACCTTGAGGAACCTGAATGAAAGAACATTTGGTTAACAAGCTACAGTAGTTAAATGTATGCTCCAAAACTTACTGCTTTACCACAATTCTACAGGTCAACAGAAAAAGTCAGGAAATTGGTGCACAGATTGATCAACCCAATTTATCAACACCAACAATGGTAAGTACCAGATTTAATCTGTCTGATGATCGCGTAAGCGTGAAACTCACAGTCACAGAGAAGTTATGTCTTATTGATTTGTCGAACTTTCAGATATATATATGTATATATATATATATATATATATATATATGTATGCTATATAAAACTAAAGTTTCCTGATCGTAAAACTACTATTAAGTATTACCTTCAAATATCCCTGTACTCAATTCTACTGTGATAGACTCTCTTTTTGACAAACTGGCAACATGAAATATGTTGATATCAACCCATCTACCTCATGTGTCTTCCACATTCGTTATTCCGCTAAGAGTAATCGAAATATTATTTTTATCCCTTCCTTTCATAAATAGTGTAGTTGCACCTGACTTCAGACCATCTTTGAAGAAAATCTGATAAAATCCAGTTTCTTGTAAGGTTGATTCATATCTATTACCGTCATACCCAAACTGTGATGTATCGGATACGACTGTATTTGAGTGAGAAAAAAACTTGTAATTGCACAGTTGGATCATTATTGGGTTCGAGCTTACAATAGATTCTACAATAGTAGAATCTGCTGGTGACAGAATTATCAAATGTCTTCTTAGTTATTGGATTGATGTCATTAACAGCATCTTGTATTTTCAATTCTTTTGTCGTCTTTACTGGCGTTTGAAATTCAAAGGTATCATTTTGTAGTTCATAAACTTTATCCCAAACATTTGAGACATCATCCCCAGGCAAGTCGTAGCCACAGAGCTCTTCGAGCTGAAAAGCATCGACTACCTGATTGTAAAAGACTACTTCTCATGGTACATAGAAGTAGTGGCCACGAAGAAGACGACAAAGTCAAGTGAGGTCA